GTTTAATTCAATTTTGACTCTCAAATATCAAGTTACAGGTACAATACAGAAGCATAAAATTTAAATAGCTAAAATTTCCTATTTATTTTAGATACTGAAACATGAAATAATGGGTATATGGAGAGAGCGGGTAATTCAGAAAATAATAAAAAAAATAGTATCTAAATAATGCTGGTAAAATATGAGGCAAAAAATTTGGATAACGCAAATTCAACTAAGGGAGATACATAGATACTTTTTACTCATGTGAATTTTGATAACGGGTTTTTTGCGGGTTAAAATATTTTAGTTCGTTGCAGGCCAGACATAGCGGACGAGTTTAACTCGCTTGACAACTACATTTAGGTCATTTGTTTCAAGAAATTTTAGTGTTTTTTGTTGTTTTTACCTGGTTTGATAGTTTACGATTTATATAGAAATCTAGAATATCACTAATCAGGTTTACACTTGATCTGTGTCCGCTATCATGTCGATTTAAAGCGATTATTATTTCAAACATTCAAAAATTTGAAGAAAGCAAAGCAAACGTATGTGTGGCTCTGAATCTCTTACCTATTGTTTTTATATGTTAGACTAAAATATATAATCTCAAATGAGTATTCAAACCACTATTGTAAGATGGAAAAGCATGATATATATGGACGGGACTCTACGGTTATGAAATAGTCACATTTTTGGTTTTTTTTACTATTTCTCTTTTATGTAATGTTCTTAACTTAACAAAAACAAATCTGATAATTTCTTCCTACCAAAAAAAAAAATCTGATAATTTCTTTATCTAAATCGAATTAAAAACAACATGAAACTGGTACGAATTTTTCTAATTATGAATTAAATACTATTATTTAAAAATATGTTTACAAACTTAACCTTGCATGTATGTAATATATTGAAATCAACCCCGCACGCACGTATGTAATACAAACTTTTGAAATCAACCCCGCACGTACGTGCGGGTCCATCCCTAGTTTGTGTTAAATTGCGGTACAAACCTTGAATGGTGGTAGCCAACAAAGGGTAATCTCATCAGTTACCGTATACAGTACTTTGTTTTGTAATTAAATATATCATACCACTAGATTTACATACTTTTCTTTCTGAACCGGTTTAAACCCCAAAAAGAAGCTGAGACGCCAATTCCAACATCATCGATCGATCGAGATGAGTCTTCTTCTCCCTTGTGCCTCTGCTCGCACCTCCCATCTTTTTCCTTCCTCCCAAAAGGTTCTCTCTTTCTTTCTCTCTCTGTATACATTTCGTTAGATATGGTTTCGTACATGACCATGGGTTTATTACATATATAATTGTTCGAAAGGGCAATGGAAGAGAAAGAGATTTGAAATACCCAATTCCTCTGAACCACAACAAAGATTTGAACTTTCTGGTCAAGAAGTTAGCTCCGTCACTCACGGCTGTTCTACTTGCTGTTTCACCCATTTGTTATCCTCCAGGTAAACCCTCTATTTCATTCCTCCGACCAAAAGCTTCCACCTTTAGAGTATTTGCATTCTGATCGAGACATTACAGAACAGCTCTTCACTTTAAAGAATTCGTATGTCTTATGTTAACAGAGAGCATTTGTGTAGAACACTTGTCTCAGTCGTGAAAATTTGAAGAGGATTTGTGAGAAAAATCTGTCTCAATTTGTTGTTTCATTCAAAAATGTTTTCTTGTTGGAACCATTGATATTGAATCTGGATTCTGCAACCTGAGACAACGATGTAGTGAAATTGCAATTGGAATTGAAGTTAAATTTTGAATGTGTTCATGAAAGTTTCATGCTTTTTGTGGGTACTGTGGTGTAGAATCTCTTGGACAGACTTTGGATATACAGAGAGGAGCAACATTGTTTAATAGAGCTTGTATTGGGTGTCACGATACAGGTGGAAACATTATTCAACCAGTGAGTTATAAAAACACTTCAAGAAAGCTCATGAAACAGTTCTTCTAGTCTCTTGTCATCTTTCATTGCTCTTCGAAGTCAATAAGCTCACATTCTTTTCCTTTTTCCAGGGTGCAACGCTTTCCACAAGTGACCTCCAAAGGTAAAACAGCTAATCCTCTACGCTGAAAGCTGTGTTTTGTGTGCATGTTTCAGATTCTTACAGGAAATGTTCGGTTAGACAGATCTTTGTCTCTAAGATTAGCAATGGTTTCTGTTTTTTTACCTTTACAGAAATGGAGTTGATACGGAAGAAGAGATATTCCGTGTTACCTACTATGGAAAGGGAAGAATGCCGGTAAGATCTTCTTCAAGAACATCCTTGTATAAATCGAGAACGCCTTTGCATTAAGCTTAATGATCTGAAGAGATATATGACTGATGTTTTCACTTCAGGGATTTGGAGAGAAATGCACGCCAAGAGGACAATGTACCTTTGGACCGCGTTTGCAGGACGAAGAGATCAAGCTTCTAGCTGAATTTGTAAAGTTTCAAGCTGAGCAAGGTTGGCCAAATGTATCTACCGATTAGCGAAATTCAACAAAGATTAGTACAGTTCGATTCCATTGACTTAGTAAGATATTGCAGCATTAGTTTGATATTCCTCTGTATCTATTATGTCTTCAAAACTCAATTTATGGTGTTAAATAATATGAGAATCAGAATGCTTTGTAATCCAATTAATCCATAAAGCTGCACCTTACTTAAACTTTATAACTACTAGGCCCTGACCCTTCGGGGCTATAGTCACTTTGTCTCTAAAGAAAATCATAAAACCTCTACTCTAATACCAATCAAGGACGACGATGTCACATTCGCTAGAGCTTCGTGTCATTTTGAGTAGTGCCTCCTTGAAAGTAGACATTTCTTGTATTGAATAATCGGCCAAATGTAGAGTGAGCTTCTTGAGCATTGGCGTATTCTCTAGGAAGTACCTTACTATCTTCAATCGTACTCGGATTGGGAATTTGAGATCAATAAACTCGAGAGATGGTAAAAAACACTGAGGCATATATGAAAAACTGATTTGACTCATCTCCTTGAAAAGCAATTCCTCATAAATACCATCGCATACCTGAGGAAAGAACAGAGAGGATTTAAACACAATGAAAAGGTACATGGCACCTGTTCATAAAGATGAAATAACTTAATTCCTTTTTTCGCAGACCATTACCAAGATGAGGGATTTCAAGTTTGGACAGCTCTTAAGAAAGGTTAGTAACTCTTCCAATTTGGAGTGATGGAGAGTTGCCTGAACGCGGGACATGTTACTAAACTGAGGTAGCAACTCTAGTTTCGAGTAATGACAGATGACCTTGAACAAAAAAAAAAAGAAAAATTTATGTGGGACGTTAGAAACTTAGATGATAGTAAAATGTAAATGTCCAAGGCCACAATTATTGACATATATACCTTGAGAGTGTCGTTACATATTGTCATATCTTTAACCTCGGAAATCTGCGAGAGAAACCTGCCGATGCTATTTCTCTTTGATGAAACCCTAATTTCATAAAATAAAATCAAATTGAAGCAACTAATATCTAACTTGGCGTTGGGTTGCATCTTTTTTATTACAACAAAGCTTTGTGATAAGTCAACATTTATGCTCAAATAGCTTAGTAGAGGAGCATCAATCACAACTCCAGAACAATAAGCATACACAAGTTGCTGCATTCTTATATTGAGCTTCTTCAATGAGGTAGAGCAGACCCGAAAGACTATTGCCTTATCATTCAAAAATGTGGCAACCTCTAACTCCTCCAGGACAGAGCAGGATGAGACAAGTCTCTCAAAAATAGCTTCATCGGTATACGAAATACTTTTTAAGTGTAAAGTCTTGACGCGAGGTAAGGAAAAAAATTTGGCACTAGCCAAGGTGGCCTGAGAAAGCTTTAAAGATACCAGTGTCTCAGAGGTATACATGCTTGTGGGTATCACAAAAGGATGTAGATCATGACAACAAAGATCAAGATGCTGGATCTTACGCGTAACTGCAGCAACAATCCATGATGTGATATACGAGGAATCAATGCAAATAGTTAACTTGAGGTTTTCTATGCATGAAACCCTATTGGGATCAAAAAACCTGTCACCAAAACTCATAAAGGAGTTACTGAAGTTCCAACATTCCAATTCCATTTCCAAACTAGGAAGCCAAAGCCAGAGACTTCTCCATCTTGTTGATAAGACGCTTGTCTTAACAACTTGCTTTATCGGAAGATGAGATAGTATGTGACAGATGATCAAAGGATCAGGTAATTGGCTTAGCCTGTCTTCCTTCAATCTCTGACTTAACACACTTTTCTCTCTCGCATCCATGTCTTTTTCTTCTGTATAACACACTTTTTTCACAGATGAACTTAATCTGCTTATAACAAAAGTTGAAACCGCAAGTCAAAATAAGGTAATAGTGACAAGTTTCAGTGCATTGTATCGAACGAAACCCATAAATATAACATCAAAGAGAGACGACGAACCACATTGAGACAACGTTTTAAAGCTTTTGAAGGTCTTAATGAAAATGTTGTAGTAAAAAAAGGGTTAAGTAAGAAGAAGAAGAAGAAGAAGAAGAAGAAGAACCTGCAACGTAGATCATGTGAGTTCGCCGACTTATGTTGCGCTTTGCTTCGACCTGTGACGTAGTGCACGTAGTTTAGGTTTAAGGAAAACTCTGTTTTTTTTCTACCATAAATAAATATATATATTTTAAAAACATATTGATAATTAGAAAAATTGTAATTTAATCAGTATTTTTAAATATTTATGGTTAATTTAGAATATAACATTATGGTTAATTTATATGTTTATCAGTAAACAATAGTTTTCTTGCACAACAATTTTCATCCATGTTTAATCCTAAGAAACATACACAAGCCTCATGGAGTATTGATGTCTTGATGTTTTTAAACAAAATTAAATAATTTTATATACATTTTATTTTCAAATGATGAAGTGTCAAAAGCTTCTTTCGTCGATTATATATGTAAGAGTTTTGTAGGAGGCTTCATTGCCATTGTTTATGCTCCAAGATGTTCTTGAGGTACAACAAAATTATAAGTGTTCATAAATCATAATTCACCCAACACATATATATATATATATATATATGCTCATAATTTTAGCCCTTACAAATATGCTATTCTGAAAATATCTTTCCTCTGGAGAATAATGCAGTGGAAAAGAAAATGATGTTACTGTTGAATCCTCTGGTATGTTATGAAGTTTTATGAGCATAACACTCACTATTTATGGTTCTTGAGAACCATCATCCGGTGAATCAGTTCGCTTTCTTTTCTTAGCATCTGACTCACCTAACTGCAAAGAAAAGCCAATCTCATCAGCCGAGTTACTGGCCTTAAGCGAAGACAGGTTCTTGGATTCAAGGTTCTCTGCTCCATTAGTTTTCTGATGGAGTGGGGATCCGTTGTCGCTTGAACTTGGAATGAACTGGTGTTCTTCGATCACGGCCGCTGATTCTAATACATCTTCTATTTGGAACTCTGGAAGAATGTTTGAGTTCTCTTCTTCTCTAAGAACTTGCTGGACATTAAGGTTAATAGGCTCAAAGTTCTCACCCGTTTTACACCTGGATATATTGCACACACCAGGAGATGATTCCACGACGGTGGAATCAATTGCAGCACACATACTACCGTTTCTCTGTTCCACCACCGCGGCTGCACTCAGCAAAAGAGACATTAAAGGAAACTGTGTCAGTGTATACTAAAAGTACTGGAAAAAAAAAATCCAAGAGATGACACAGACCTTGAAGACTCTCATTGGAAGTAATGAGATCAAGCTCAAGAAGATTAAGAACTCTGCCAAGATCAACTCCACTTGTCCAATTCTCAGGTTGTTCTCCCACTTTTAGCTTCAAACGTCCCCTGTTTGCTGTTCCTCCCCAAATAATTCCAACAGGTCGCGGTTTCTCATTCTTCTCATCGCTGGCAGCCAACAGAATAAGGCTTCCACTATCACCCTCAAGATCAAAAGTCTGCTGGTTTGCACCAACAACAAGAAAATCAGTTAAGAAACAAATCCCTTTCTCGTCATTGTATTCCAGCGCGTAAGCCATTATGGTCCCAGTGGTCAAACCAGAGCTTCTTCCAACTTTGATAACTTTTCTTCCTATTAGACTGTTAATTGGAGACTGTAGATCAGTAGCATGGATGTCACCAATCTCACCAACCCCTTTGACAGTTGTGGTTACATTGTTCATATCGAAGTCCTCAGCAAATGGAATGAAGGCTCCATCAGCTCGAACAAATGTTTCTGCAAGAGGGAATCCGATAATTAAAATTGTGCTGCGCCATTATACAACAGAGTTATTCTATACATTGTTACTGGGGTACCTGGGTTAGTTCCAGCGAAAATGCCATACCAAAGGTCATCAGTAATGAATGAAGTTGCTCTTTCCACTGCACCTAAGTAGACTCCAGGTCCGAGGCTAGGTGGCAATGGATGAAACATCTTCTGGCTTGGATAGTCTAAATCAACTGCAACATGTCGGTTAGTTAGGAAACCGACCTGTCTGATACCGGTTTTACTCTTTACAATTGCACCTAAGGTTCCATATGTCTCTTGACTAGCCACCTGCAACAAGAGAAGCACGGCTGGATAAGAGTTTGCAATAAAAATGTCAAAAACGTAAGCATGTATGTAAAGTTACAGGGGGTTGGTTACCTGTGAACCAGATCCGATAGACGAACCACTGCCTCTCAGATCATCAACAAGCTCTGTATACACCTGCTCTTTAGGTGTTTGCGCAGGTGCGCCATAATATTGAAATTCAACAACATCTACATCACACCAAACTCCTCCAGGACCCTGTCAAAGTAAGATACTATAAATAAATATAAAAAGATTCCAGAAGCCAACATAATTAGGCAGCTTTATTACAGGATTCTTCCAAGTTTGTAGTATCTACATTACAAAAAGTTCCAATATCTCACCTCCAAGGCTTTATTAAAGGATTTTTTCCAGCATGAGCAAAACTAAAGTGAGAATCAGTATTGAAAGTAAAGTATTATAGGCAAGAAATATCTCACCTCCAAGGCTGTAGGTAAACACTGAAGAGGATTAAGCCATTGTTTGTGAACTTTTCGCGCAACAAAGACAAGAATAGCTGCTATATTTGTCAAAACACCTCGTCGAATCCGAAATCCAATAGCTGTACCAAGACTAAACCTCCTTAAATTCTTACTATGAAAGGCTCTGATCATCATCAATTCAAGCAATGTAGTAGCTTTCTTCCCTGTAGGTAAACCATCAAAAGTCTCAGGCAAAACCCCTTTCTGAAGATTTGCAAAGTAGTTTGCTCTGTCTTCCGCTGAATCGTTCAATCTACTTGAAGTAGGCCAAGAGAAATACGCAGCAGCAGCACTGGTCTCAGGATGTTGACCTCCCGATGGAAACGGTTGAAGGGGAGATGAAGAAACCAGTTTAAAATGATTGTAACAGTTTTTATCCAAATCCAATGCAGACTCCACAGATTGTGATGATACAGAGTGATGAAATCTATGGTCCAATCTTTTCCCTTCCATCTTCAACCTCTCTACTTAACCAACCTACACTAAATTAAACAGACTAAAGCTTCAAAATCAAAATAAAGAAAGAACACAGCTCATCATGACTAAAGCAACAAACTTTAAGTGCATAATCATCATTGAAATCAAACAAAGGGGACTAACACCAAAGTCTCAATAACCCAAATTGGCTTATGTATCCTAAAATTTAAAACTTTATTGGAAAATTATGTGAAAGATTGAAAATTTTCGTAAACCCAGATAAGGAAACATGAAAAGAGTTTAAGAAATTGAGTGAAACAACGGAGCAATTAAGAGAAAGTTTGGAACTTTGGGAGAGAGAAGAAAGAAGTAAGAGTACTAACCGATCAGTGGTGTTGGATCTTTCTCATGTGGTAGAATACAAAACTCTTCAGAAGGATCGAATAGAGGAGATTGTGGGAAGAAGTGGTAATAATAGAGAGGAGGAGGACCCAAAGAACTTGGTTGAGCTTGAGAGAGTGGACGACGAAGACTTTTTTTTTTTAATCTCAAACCAAATTGGAGGAAACAGTGACTCTTTTGTTGTTTGCACTTTGTCAAATGTATTTTTAACATTTTTTTTATTTTAAAGAAAATATTTATTTGTATACTTTAATTTATTTAAATATTTCAAAAATAATTATATATTCCTGCATATTTTTTTTCGTTTCTAATAATTTTTCCATGTGGATGTATAAATATAAGCTCAAATTTTGGTTACAAAATTATTTTATATGGGATTTTAAATTTTTTTGAAGATGTTGTAAAATTAAAATTAAGGTAAGAACTTGTATGTATCAACGGATTTCTTATATATGTATTTTAAAAATAAATGTATTAACCCCAAATTTTATAATCAACTAAAATACGAATAAACCTTTGAAATTATAATTGATAAATTATTGCATATTTAATTTAAAATTCCTGAAAGAAGCCGCTTTATCAATAGTAAAAATATTAAGAAATGGATAAAACTTTCAATATAAATTGGATAATGTTTCTTTTTAGTATACTTATCTTCAAAAATGGTAATCACCAAAAAAAAAAAAAACAAATATCTTCAAAAATGGTGTGATCACACTCAAACGTCACTAAGAGCTATCATGCTTACACAGTTACACTCACTCTCTCTCCTTTTCATCTTAGCATATCAAGAAACTTTTCTAAAAGAAGATGATCTGTGTCGAAATCTCAAAACATACAAATTGTATTTTTCAAAATGTAGAACATAAGTAACATAACTTGAAACATTTTATCACAAGTTTTATCAACTTCTAGACTAAAAATACAGAGACATGATTTATCAAGGCTGTTAGTTTTAGAACAGGGGTCTTAAAACAGTGATCTTTGATGTTTGATTTTTCATGAGGAGAATCGGTCGCGGTCATGAGGTGAAGAGTAGTTGATGTTCGGTCCGTGAGGGATGATCCCAAACGGGTTTACCGTAGGGTGGCTTCCGTAGTAATGTTGCTTAATGTGTGCCATGTTCACAGTGCTACTCATGCCCTGGATTTGGTAGATGTCTTTTATGTAGTTGAAGATATTCGGGTACTCTCGTAAGAGTCTCTTGTTGCATTTGAAATGAACTGCATAAACCTGAAACGCAGAAAAAGATGATGTCAAGAACCTGATGGGCATTATATGTTTAAAAACAAAGAAGTAAAGTTGAATTATATACCTCATCAAACCTTATGAAAGTGACAAATAATCTGATATCTGCTTCCGTGAAAGTATTTCCGCAGATGTATCGTTGTTTTCCAAGTATTTCTTCGCATCTATCTACTGCTTCATACAACTGGTTCACTGCCTGGAGAGAAAAGGGATCAATTTACAAATATGACGAATATCAACCTGTTTTCGTCCGGTTAAAAAGAGTATAGCCATTGAGGAATTTATACCTCATCATAGGGTTCTTGTTTCCTAGCAAACCCGCATCTATAAACACCATTATTTATCCCATTGAAAACCCATTCGTTAGTCTCATCGATTTTATCTCTGAGATGAGAAGGATTAAGGTCAAGTGACGGGTTTTTCGCGATACCATTGAACTCAGTGTTAAACATCCGGATTATCTCTGAACTCTCATTGTTAACTACAGTTTTGAGCTTCTTATCCCACAGAATCTAACATAATAACAAAACAAAGACATTCAAGAAACATGACAAGAGAGATTAGAGAGTTCACAAGAGATGAAATCTTACAGGAACAGTGTACTTCCCCTCATAGTTCGGACTAGCAATTTCATAGAGCTCTCTCACAGTCTTTGCACCATTAAGATAGTCAGGCTCAGCTCCAGGGAGCTCGGTATCCGAATCCGGGAAAACCCATCCTCTATGGTCATCAGTTTCCTTGGTTCTTCCCCAAATAGCATGAACCGACTAATCGAAAAAAACAAAAAAGAACAATGTTTCAACAGTCTAAATTCGAGATGGAAACCACGAGATAGAGCAATGAACTGTACTAACCGAGAAGCTGATAGCTTCATCAAGCCCTTTGATCTTTAAGAAAGAAACACATCTACAAGCCCATGGACAAGCATAAGATATGTAAAGATGATATCTTCCGGATTCAGCTGGAAACTGAGAATGAGGATCTTGTGAAACAAAGTTTCGGAACGTAGATGCTGTTCTCACAAAAGCTCCACATTCTGATGTCTCATCAACCCCTGACCTAGCCATTGCTAATAACCTCAATTTCGCTACAAAAAGGATCAACAAAATGAATCAAAATACAAAATTTCGATCACAAGTATACTTTTCTCATCACTAAAGTCAGTAAAAACGAAAACTTTTGGGAGATTTCAATGTTTATTGCCTCGAATTATGCTTTTTTTATACATCTTCACATGATCAATCTCAAATTTCTCAAGACAAAGGTTCACGAAAACGAAACAGAACATTAAAAAGTTGAGATTTTTCGAACAGGGTTTTACTTAATCATCTCATTCGAGCCACTAAATCATCAAACCAAAGACAAATCACATGTTCATAGCCTTGATTTATGCTTTCCGCAATTGCTCATTTTACAAATCATTCAACCCAGAAGCCAGATCAAATCCAAACTTCAGTATAAGTATTAACACAGATCACGATTTACGAAGATAGGAGAATAGAACAAAACCTGATCACGACGATGTAATGTAAGTTGGAGTCGAAATGTCGCTGTTGTTGTATGATGCTTTTATTTTATTTTTTGGCGATAAGGTTAAGAAGAAGAAGAAAAAAAAGTCAGCTTTAGTGGAGAATGATACTTTGTCTTGCCTTTGTCGTCACTGCTTTGTCTCACACGCCTCAAGTCACGCCTAACGAATTTGTCTAGCCGAGCGTGATAACTTTCTGGACCGTTTATGCGGTAATGGATGGGTTCAATAGACAATAATGCAGCTTTTAGACCGTTTTAAACCAGGTTATGGTTATGGGTGGTTCAACCTGTAACGAATTTGGTACAATCGGTATAGTAAAGGATATATTTATGTAACAAGTTACACTAACAGTCTAACATAGAATATTGTACAAGACAACAACCAAAACGGGAAATCCAAGTAGAAATTTGCCAATTTTAAAGAAATTTCATGTCAGGCATATGCATAAGGGATACGAAGAGAACAAAGATAAAGGTAGTCGATAAAGCCCATAAGAAAACTTCTCCAATCCCTAATTTCTTCTTCTTCTTGGAGAGTTTGGTAAAAATCTTGAAACCTCTCTAACAATGGCGTCAACAAGAGCAAATTCGTTTCTGCAACATGAGTGAAAAAATCTGATTAAGAAGACCAAATACAAAAACTTACAAAAAGAAAAGAATTGTGATAGTTACCATTGGATAACAAGCATTATTACAACTTCGGTGTTGATGGCAATGGGGTTCCATATGCATGACCCAAAACCCTGAATACAGAATTTGAAATCAATCTTAATTATTCATTCAGTCATACATGTGTCCAGCCAAAGTTAATCCCACCCCTCGTTTTAAACCCTTTTGAAGTACCTGCGTTACAAGCAATCTAGTTTACTTAATTTATGTTTAACTATTATTTGAACTTAATTTAAGAAAACAAAACATTACTCTCTCTCTCTCTCTCTATTAGATTTTCAATTTTTCCTTTTATATTTGGAATCTATCAAGATTATAATATACGTATAATCTGATTTTTTAAATTACTTTTCATCATTATTATTATTATTTTGGTCGAAACAAAACTTATTAAGAAAGGAAAAAACAAGCATTACAATTTCGCTTAAAAAAGCCTACCGAAAATTTCAAGTAATATCAAAGATAATTCACAAACAAGACTTGCATGCTCAAGCTCACGTCTTGCACAATCACGTCTTAACGGTATTTCAGAAGAGAATCTGTTTCGATCATGCGGCCAAGAGTAATCAATGTTTGTTCCAAGAGGGATGATCTCAAGAGGGTTTAAAGAAGGAAAGCTTCCATAGTAATTTTGCTTTATATGATCCATCTTTACTGTACTGCTCAGTCCCGCGATTTGATAGATATCTTTGGTGTAGTTAAAGAGATTATAATACTCTCTTACAAGCCTTTTACCGCATTTGAAGATCACCGCGTAAACCTGCAAAAACATATGGTAAATTCAACAAAACGTAGATTGGAAAATCCGAAAAAACATAACATTTTTTTGCTTAGATTACCTCATCAAATCTTATGAGGGTGACGAATAATCGGATATCTGTTTCAGTCAGAGTGTTTCCACAAAGAAACCGTTGTTTTCGGAGTGTTTCTTCGCATCTGTCCAATGCATGAAACAATGCCTTCACTGCCTGCAAAGAGAAAGAAATTAACATGTTTGGAATCAATATTTTAATTAGTTACCATACTGATTAGTAAACTGAAAACTTGCTTTACCACATCATAGGTTTCTTGATTTGTAGCAAACCCGCATTTATAAACACCGTTATTTATGTCATCGTGAATCCATTCGTTTGTGTCATCGATAATGGTTTGTAGATTGGGAGGGTAAAGATCAAGAGAAGGGTTTTCTGCAACATGATTGAACTTTGTATTAAACATTCGGATTATCTCAGAGCTCTCATTGTTAACTATAGTCTTAAGCTTCTTATCCCAAAGAACCTACCACAAACAAAGAAACAAAAAAAGAATCTGATAAGTTTAATTAAGTACCAAAATCAGACATAAGATTAGGCCACACTATGGATATAAAGAACTTACAGGAACAGTGTATTTACCCGTGTAGTTCGGGCTAGCGATATCATAAAGTTCTCTTATGCTTTTCGCACCATTAAGACGATCAGGATCAGCTCCAAGAACCTCTGTATCTGAATCTGGAAAAACCCATCCCATATGCTCGTCGCTTTCTTTGGTCTTTCTCCAAAGTGGTTGAACAGACTAATGAAGAAACGAATCAGATTATGTTGCCTAAAACTCGAAACGAAATATGTCGAAAAAAATATTATTTACTAACCGAAAAGCTTATTGCTTTCTCAAGCCCTTTGAGTATCAAGATTGCAAGACATCTAGAAGCCCATGGACAAGCGTAAGATATGTAAAGATGGTATCTTCCTGCTTTTGCTGGAAACTGAGAATCAGGTTTTTGTGAAACAAAGTTGCGGAATGACGTCGCGGTTCTAGCAAAATCCGAGTTTGACATATCCATTGCTGATGCAGACTGGAGAGTAAATAAATAAACCTCAAAATTTAGAACATTAAAACATCATTATGTAACAATATAATAAAAGTTTGAATGTAAAAATTATTCAAACAAAAAAAACTGGTTTTACAAAAAAATGTGTCTTTTGTGCCAAAACATTTGAGCTTGAAAACAGAGCTTAAAACAGAGGATGTGTGATCACCTTGATTTCGAATGGAGCTGAACCGATATCTGATGTTTTTACCGATGAGGGACACGAGCCGAGCTGGTTAAATATTAGGTTCTCCATATTATACTCAAGTGAAGCTGCAACAACATAACCAGAAACATACACAGAAACTTAAGTAATCTTACATCTAGAATAGGTTTCCGACAGCAAAAGTAATCAAGAATGGATAACGGAACACAAGAATGAAATAAAGTAATAAGTACCAAACACAATAATGCATGTAAGACTTGATTCGATCAGAAATTGGATGATGTATCGAGTCTTTAACTGTTGTCTTCGATGCTACGTAAACTAATAAATGTTGAAAATTTGAGTCAACATTGGCGAGCAGAAGAAGCTTCTTGGATTAAGAACAAAAAGAAAAGTCTATGTCTTTTGACAAAATCAAGCTGCTTTTGAGATATTTTCGAACAGAGAACCTTGAAGTTAACAACAAAACATCATCAACTGACCAAGGAAATTAAAGTTATGATCTCGAAAAGACTTTGAATTCAAAGATGATTAAACTCTTTCCAAGAAACTGAGGTTAAGATCAAAGTAACAAACTTTACAATTACATTAACTTGAAACAGAACATAAAGAATCCAAAAGACCATGCATGTCTATAAATTGGTAAAAGTCTAACCATGCATATTTAATTTCATGAGAACATAGCATTCCTACACGACTAATGTTTAATGAAACTATGCTCATCATCAGATGTATGTCAATGTATGATAACTTGACATGTGGGAGAAAGCTTTGCAGATGTAAGAAGCTTCTTGTAGCTCTCTAGCTCTTCGTTGGTTACAGAAGAATGTGTGACACTTAGAGTCAGTTTCTTGAGGACTGCTGAATTCTCAAGAAAGTAATTCACTAGTCTGATGATCCCACTTGATCCTGTCTTCATTATCAGTCTGTTAATCTTAACATACTCCAGCCTCGGTATCAAACTCTGAGGTACATACATTTGCAAGATCATCAGTTTCCTCTAGCTTCGGTGAAACAGAAAAGTCATGAAAAAAGACGATTACCTTTGGCTTTCTTAAAAAAGGAAGATTCTGCCGAACGTGGTTTTGCTGTGGATCCAATGATGAATCAGGAGCGTCCTGCGAAAAAAAAAAAAAAAAAACAAATATGAGTTCAAACCAAGAATAATGTTCAAGAGTCTAAATAAACATAGAGAGTTTTGGAAATCGTCAATGAAAAATAGCTTACGAAGGTAAGAACTTCAAGAAGAGGAGAGAGGCTGAGATGAGCCTCGTTATAATCAAAAGACCATCTTGATTCTCGTAATAAATGTTTTGTAGATGCATCATCTTGAGATTAGGTAGAGAAGGAACAAACCTGCAGGGATTCTCAAGCCCTACGTTTGCAAGCTTTAAAGACACTAATGTCTTGCTGACATAAACATACTTAGGCATTAGATTGATAACATGCCGAGGCCTTAATTCGAACATATCGGCCTCTAGATGTTGAACCCCGCGATGGATCACCTCGGCTATCAAATCCGTAACTCCATCGTTACAGTCGATGGAATCATTATACCTTACCTTCTTTTTTTCTTGACAAAAGTCAACAAAAGTGATTTCTTTCACTCCTTTGGAACTATAAGGAGAGAAAAAATTATAAGTGGCACACTTTATGTTGAAACTTTGCAGGCATGATCCACGGTTAAGCTTCAAAAATCTACGCATCAACCCCGACATGGCTTTTCCTTGAAGAGAGACCTGAAGTGTGGTTAAGTCCAATACGGGAACCTTTAGACAGAGACATTCCCATCTCTTCGATAAAACACTTGTCTTAAACGAATCGTGGACCAAAAGGTACGAGAGTATGTGAGTTACTAAAGAATCTGGCAATGCGCTGATTCTGTCAAGCTCCATGATCCTATATCAAACTCGAATCCTAGGCGATGAGTTTCTCTATTTTTTATCCTAAAATTTTAGGGTTCAAAGATTATAAAACGTGGAAGGAAAGCTACGAAACAAAGACTAGGGTTTTTGGTCTGAATTTCTCAAACAGGCTTGTTTCGACCCAAAAGGCCAGTAGCTAATTAACGATATTAGGGCAAAGAGAAGTTCCTTTTGGTTTAAGTTATGTGATAGCTTTGTGTAACAATGTCGGCCAAACAAATTAATGAAGATCCCACATCGACAACTTTGAAATTTTTTATCAAGTATATAAAGAAGCATGAGTTAATGCATTAGTAACCAATTGGCTTTGAGGAGAGAAAGCTTATGAGTCGTCTTCAGTGTGGAATCATAACCCTCGGATCCAATAGGATTCATACAACTAACGAATGGGTAAATAAATGGTTCTATAAGTGGGAGAACAACATGAGCCAAAGCCAATTGGTTTTATTTTTTGGTTTCATCACGACTCGCGAGAGAAGAAAAAGTAAACTACTACATATTGGGAAGAAAAGATGATATAGTCATACCATGCAAATAAATAAGAACATAGCCATTGTAAGAGTTTGTTGAGTAAATGACTAAGACCAAGATGTTATCCTAAGTTGAGAGAACTGTTGGGCAAAAGAGAGGCAGCTAGACTCGATTGTTTTAGTTAGGTTTGATTGTTCGGGTAAATCAAACAGTTTGGTTCATGTTGGACGAAATACACAATTTTGGATTGTTTAGGTTAGAAAACAAATGTTTCAAACTAAATCAACAATTTTGGACGAAATAGGCATATTTTAACATAATGGTTCAAATACTTACAAGGATTTCGAGTCCTCTGCAAAAAAGCTTGGATTTAAAAATAGATGTTTTCACATCCCCACATATATAAAAAGAATAAAAAAACTATCCAACTATTTTACTTGAGTGTTTTTGTAAAATACTGTTTTTACAAACAGAAATAAAATAGTTTGGCCGAAAGTATAATTTTTCTTAATCTTCGTGGTAAATTTCGAAACATCTATAATCTTCGTGGCCAAAAGTATAATTTTTTGTTTTCATATTGTAACATATAGAATTAAAAATCTACAATCAAATTATTCATTTAAAACAAATGTTTTTTTTGTATTCCAATTAAATAAAGCGATGAACCAACCATTAGCTTCGGTCAAAAAAAAAAAAAAAAATAGGACTGAAGTCTATATTAACAATCCATTATCATCCAAAAGTTAAAAGTGTCTTTATCTCAAGTTAAACAAACGTAACATGACTAATTGCAATCTTTATGAGAATAGATGATTCCTACACTAATGTTGAATGTAAAAATGGTCTCATATATGTTCTCACAAGCATCATCAGCTGCATGTTCTTACCAGAATCATCAGCTGCATCTTAATCAAAGATAACTTGACATGTTGGAGAAAGTTTTGTGGATGTAATAAGCTTCTTGTAGCTCTCTAGCTGTTGGTTGGTTACAGAAGAATGTGTGAAACTTAGAGTCAGTTTCTTGAGGACTACTGAATTCTCAAGAAAGTAATTCACTAGTTTGAGCCCATTTTCTTCTTTCATTACCAATCTGTTAATCTTAACATACTCCAGCGTAGATATCAAACACAGAGGCACATTTGTAAGATCATCATCAGTTTCGCCTAGCATCGGGGAATCAGAAAAGTTCCGCCAAAAGTCGATTTGCTTTCGTTTCCTTGGAAATATAAATTCGCAATTCGGACGGTACCGATATGGCCCCCCTTGAAACTCCTGCCTAGAATCATTTTTCTCTGACTTTTCTAATTCAGGAAAGTCAAAGGTAAGATCTTCAAGAAGAGGCGAGGCTAAGATGAGCATCTTTATAATCAAAAGACCATATTGATTCTTGTAATAAATGTTTTTTAGATGCATCATCTTGAGATTAGGTAGAGAAGCAACAAACCTGGGATTCTCAAGCCCTACATTTACAAGCTTTAAAGACACTAATGTCTTGCTCACGTAAAGATACTTAGGCATGAGACTGATCACACCACCCTGTTGCATTGTTTCGCACATATCAGCCTCTAGATGTTGAACCCCGCGATGGATCACCTCAGATATCAAATCCATCACTCCATTGTTACCGTCAATGGAATCAATATACCTTACCCTCTTTTTTTCTTGAGAAAAGTCCAAAAACGTTATCTCTTTTACTCCTTCAGAAACGTCGATTTGCTTTCGTTTCCTTGGTAAGACATGTTCGCTATTCGAACGGTATCGATATGGCCTCCTTTGAAACTCCTGCTTAATTTCATAAAAGTACAACTTTATGTTGAACCTTTGCAGGCTTGATCCACGGTTAAGCTCCAAAAATCTACGCATCAACCACGACATGGCTTCTCCTCGAAGAGAGATCTTAACGGTGGTTAAGTCCATTACAGGAACCTTTAGCCAGAGAAATTCCCATCTCTTCGATAAAACGCTCGTCTTGATCGAATCTTCGATCAAAAGATACGAGAGTATGTGTGTTAGTAAAGAATCTGACAATGCGCTGATTCTGTCAAGATCCATGATCCTATATCAAAATTGAATCCTAGTCGATGAGTTTCTCTAATTTTTATCCCAAGTTTTAGGGTTCAGAAACAAGATTAGGGTTTTCTCAAACAGGCTTGTTTGTTGTTTCAGCCCAAAAGGCCACTAGAGAATTAACACGAGAGCTTTTTTTTCCAATCGGGCTTGTTTTGGCCCTCAGTAACAATATTAGGGCAAAGACAAGGTTACTTTTGGTTTAAGTTATGTGATAGCTTTGTGTAACAATGTCGGCCAAACAAATTAATGAAGATCCCACATCGATCACAACTATGAAAGATCTGATCAAGTATATAAAGAAGCATGAGTTGTTGTATTAGTAACCAATTGGCTTTGAGAAGAGAAAGCTTATGAGTCGTCTGCTGTGTGGAATCATAACCCTAGGATCCAAAAGGATTCATACTATTAACGAATGGGTAAATAAATGATTCTATAAGTGGGAGAACACCATGAGCCAAAGCCAATTGGTGTTTTGCACTTGGAAGCTTTCAACTCATTCGTAACTTAAATCTCTATACTTTTTGTGCTCCTCCAAACTTCTAACGTTAGTTATGTAATTGTGACGATCTAAAAATTTCTACTTTTTATTTTTTGACAGGTTTATATATTACCATACATTTAGATAAACATGAAAATTATCAAGACCCTATATATCTCCATCAACTAGACATGTGTGATCCTACTTATTCACGTAAATCAAATAGAAACCATGTTTAGGATTTTAGGGTTTATCGCCGGCATGGGAAAGAGGCAGAAGAAAGTAGCCTCCAGCCCAAGCAACTCACCAAGAGAAATATCCATGGAGATTATCCTCCCAATTGATCTCTTAATTGAAATATTCTCAAGATTGTCACTGGAAGACGTTGCCAGGTCTCGTTGCGTGTCGAAGCTTTGGTCTTCCATACTGCGTCGTCGAGAGTTCACCCAATTGTTTTTAAAAATGTCATCGGTTCATCCGCGTATCGTTTTCACCTTCCTATGCAATGGTAAGCGGATCTTTTACTCCATACCTCAGGATCTTGATCCACACCGCAACTACTCTTCTCCTGTATCTCCGTATTACCATATGCATTTCCCTAGAGGTTTGGGTTCTGGCAAAGATATGTGTCCCTCTTTATTTGGTTTGATCTGTAACAAATCTAAGAAGCCGATGGTCTGTAACCCTAGCACAGGAGAGTACATATCTTTACCCGTAGTGACAACCAAGAAGAATCAAATGAAACCATATCTCGGGTATGATCCTATCGACAAAATCTTCAAAGTATTATCCGTATCTGAAGATGATTATGTGTGTCGAGTTTCAACATTAGGAACATGAGTAGTGACCTGGAGAAGGGTCGAATGTTCGATACCTCATCACCCTTTATATACTGAGATATGCATCAATGGGGTATTGTATTATTTAGCTAAGCGCATGGATGATGGAACTCCAAGCCATTTGGTAGCATGTTTTGATGTTAGATTGGAGAGTTTTAAGTTTGTAGTGGTTGGGTTACTGAGTTTGTGTTCAGTTCTCATAAACTACAAAGGTAAGTTGGGGATATTGTTACCAAATTCACGCAGTGTTAATAAACGCATGAAAAGTATTGAGCTTCGGGTTCTAGAGGATGCTGATGAAGTCAAATGGTCCAAGACTATCTACACATTGCCATACTATTGGAAGAATCTAGCTAGAGGTAACCAAATAGAAATTGTCGGGATGACGAGTGCAGGTGAAATTTTGTTGTCGACATACCATCCACAGAAGCCTTTCTACATGTTCTACTACAATACATTGAAAAATAGTGTGGAAGAGTTGAAATCGAATTTGGAATTGTAGCTTTGAGGTATAGGTATGACTGCTCACATAGTATGACGTTGATAAACCATGTAGAGAATGTAAACCTTATGGATTAGGACTCTATAACATATATAGCTTGCCAGCTTTTATTTAAGTTTCGCCTCTTAGATACAACCTTATCGTTGCATCCATCTTGTATCAATGTTTTTTGTAATTTGTAAGCTATTTGAACTTTTTTTCTCTTCATGACCAAACCACTTTGGTCGTCTTCGTGCATTTTACTGTACAGTTATATATAAACTAAACATAGAATTTTGATCCATTGTCTGATGAATTGTACAAGCCAACAGCATATTCTATACAGAACCACCACATTATCATCAAGATTCCCTACCACATCATGATGATCTTGAACAACGCAAGACGTTTCAATTATACAAAAGACCTTGACACAAAGAACATAGTAAATGTTTTCAAGTTTACAGGACAACAATGTCTTGCTGTTATAAATGTGTAGAGGTCTGATATAAAAGCACAAAAGAGCCGTTGATAACTAGAAGTTGAAGACCAAGACTACTCAAAGTATAGTATAATGTGTCTACGCTGATCTCCACGTACGACAATGACAATGCATAATAATCTGACATTCAGGAGAACGCTTTGTGAATGTAAGAAGCTCCTTGGAGATATCGGAATCTTGTTTGCTTGTAAGTGAATCTCTAAAACACCACAGACGGAGTTTCTTGAGAACTACTGAATTCTCAAGAAAGTATCTCGCTTGTTTCTTCCCAATCTCTTCCTCCCATATCAGTCCTTTAAACTCAACATACTCCAGACTCACCAACAAGCACCGAGGTACATATCTAACTTCAATCTGCTTTTTCTTTGTCACATTATAACCAAAGTCCTACAAATAAAAACGAAAAATTAAAGAAAAAAAAAACAAAAACTGAGTTTCCCACACAATAATGTTCATATAATGAGACTCCAACAAATTCTTACCAAGATGAGAGTTTTCAGATTAGGACATCTCTCAAGAAATGTCAGGAACTCGAACATGTAGCTACAGATTTTAGCCTCTAAACGATATAAGTTATCGAATTTGGGAAATGGTCCCAATATGGAATAACAATGGAGGATCTGCAAGAAGAAATAAATAATATAACAAGATTTCGCAATGAAAAAACATATGGATGATGATGATGATATTATATACAATTATATCAAATTTTCGAGAATATGTTATACATACCCTCACTGTCCTGTAAGAGATGATCATATGTCTTACACTAGATATCCCGGTAAGAAAATTAGGGATAACATCTCTCATGCTTAATTTCTTTGGTATCCAAATTCGGCGGCCATACACATACTTATCAAATGCAGTATCAAGGTCTACCTTGAATAAAGAACTCAGATTCTTTACCACAATCCTACCACATCCAGTATCCATGAATTTCATATACTTAAGTTGTGCAGCGTCAATCTCAACTGCATAATCTTTTCTATCAGGACGTCCGTTGTACGCGAAACTAAAGCTCTTCAAAAACTCAGACCTCACACGTAGAAGCTGGGAAACTTCTTCTTTTCCAGGAACATGCCTATACTTAATTATAAGGGTAACATCTTCAAGAACAGGACAACCTGAGATGAGTTTCTCAATAATCAAAAGATTACTATGGTACTCAACGTTTTCGAGATACATATTCTTGAGACAAGGTAGAGAAACAACAACTTCTGGATCCTCAAGCCTTACTCGTGCAAGCTTTAAAGACACCAATGTCTTGCTTTGATAGATATTATGAGGCATATTAATACAATGATATATGGTATCAACACTTAATTGATGAATTCCGCTTACAACCGCCTGTTCGATCCAATCCACGAATCGGTTATGATCTCCCGGAGACTTTATCGAGAACTTTTGCATTCGTGATTTGTGATTAGACTCCATAAAATTGTCAATGAAGCTCTCAAAACATTTGGTAGGAGGGTTTTCCAAGTCAAGTCCAGGAACCATAAGCCAGAGAAATCGCCATCTCTTGGATAAAACGCTTGTCGAGACAGAAACTTTGGTAGGAAGGTATAAGAGTATCTGAGTTAGGAGACAATCCGGCAATTCGCTGATTCTATCGCAATCCATGACGAACAAATTCGAAACCCTAAGTTTCATAAAACAAAAAAGTATTAATATTAAGCGTAAGATACAAGCCACTAGCTAAAATCACTTACTTGAACGTAAAAGCAAGAGAGAGATCTGAATCTCAAGATCTCACCGCCGATTTGATTCGCAGGTCGGATTGTCGCCGCCGAAATATATTTTAGCTAGTGGCTTGTTTCTAAATAATCTGAAAATAATCTGAATCTAAATAAACATATACAGTATTAATAAAATAATAAATGTAATATTTTAAAATCATTAACCCTAACATTATTTATAGTTTTTAAATTACAAAATATAAATCCTAACCATTTTTCTTAAAACTCAAACCGACATATAATTTCGTTTAGTTATAAAATCTAAACTATACACTCTTTTATAAACACAAACCAAAAAAATATATTTTTTTAATTATAAAATTTATAATCCTAACTACTTTTTTATAAACTCATACCAAAATATAATTTATTTTATTATAATACATAAACTCTAATCCTCATTTACTAATCCAAATCGACATATTATTTTGTTTAATTGTAAACATAAATCTTAATCTTTTTTTATAATTTCAAATCGACATATAATTTCCTTATTGCAAAAATATACAAATTTTGTTTTCTTAATTTGTTTTTTAAATTTTTCTTTAATTATGATTTATTTTTAAAATATAATATGATGATATATTATATTGTTGTACTTTTATTAGTTAATTAAGAAGGGATAAATCAGTGAACTCAAGTAATTTTCTATTTTTGTGAATTTCATTGCCTTTATGTCTTGTCTTTTACAAGAAACACACATTTGGTCAAAACATATGTAACGGTTTAAGGGAAGGTGAGTGAATGACTTCACCGTGAATTCAACTTGGAAGCTTGATTTGAAGTTAAATAAAAATTTAGTATCCCACCTCGTCCGGAAGTGGCTTGTGTCCAAATATATTCTTGATTCGTCGGAAGGTGGCTTGTGTTTGAACCCATGAGGTGAAGTCTTTGGTTTTGTTTTGCTGTCTTAAATATCTTTAATGCCATTCAAGAAAGTGAGATTCAGATAAGTGTCTTACACTAGATTAGTAGATGTCAATGTATTGAGTCCTGGAGCATCTTCTTGGAGCTGGATTAGCACCAATTTGGCCGACTCGCTTTTAAGACCAAGATCTCAATCCACAAACTGTGAGGAGGGCCTATAAAGCCCAATCGGTATGGCCAAGTCAAATACGACCTCCTAATATTGAGGAAACACCTACTCTTAGAAGAGAATCAATCAACGGACTCTTGTTACTTGGAGCGCAGGTAACATTCTAATGGAGAGAATCTCATCTCTATATAGTTACGGACTTTGTCGAGAGGCGCTCCTATTATAAAAAGAGAGTAGTCTTCGCCTAGATGATCTAATCAATAGCTCACCGAGGGCAGGCAAGAGAACATAAACACCACTTTTACAATCATCCCTTTACCAATCAAATACGTCTTTGTATTTGACATGAACAAGAGCTTACTCATAGGGCGTATTCAGTCTAAAAAATCATTTAGAGTCTAGCCACTTACGTTATATAGCTACTCACCAACACCATCTCATTTGAGATTGTAACAATCGAACTACGTATAGGCTTTACCTAAGAACTCACATACAGAACCAACACATTCCTAATTACCAAGATCAGATCTTCACGAACACTACAGCCTAAGAGAGCTCTCCATAATCAAAGGCTCTTGACACAACGTAGAGAAACAGCAAACAATATCCAGAAGTCTGATATAAATCACCATATAGTCACAAGAATCAATCAATATACAAATCCACTCAGGTTTAATCAATAGAGTAATCAAGTTTAATGTCAATCAATTCTAGGCTTAAGTTCAAAACAACAAAAACACTGATCTTCAATGACATGAATCAATGAATAATAATCTTACATTTGCTGGAACACTTTGCACATGTAAGAAGATCGTTAGAGATCTTTCTAGCCTGCTTGGTTGTAAGAGAATCTCTAAAACGCAGATTAAGTTTCTTTAGAACTGCTGAATTCTCAAGAAAGTACCTCGCTAGGTTCCTCCCACTCTCTTCCTCTACAATCAGTCCTTTAAGCTCAACACGTTCAAGAGTCAACAAGAAACAACGAGGCACATAGCTTAGTCGAATTGGAACTGGATGCCTCGAAACTGAAAACTCCTGATAATAAAAACAAAAGCTTTGAGTTTACAATATCTAGCTTTCAATAATGTTGGTATTGCTCAATCATAGGCTCAAACAGATTCTTACCAAGATGAGGTTCTTGAGATTTTGGAAACTCTCAAGAAAGACAGGCAATATATGTAACAACGAGTTGGGGAACGCAGCCTGCAAATGATACAATTTAGGGAACTTGGGAAGCGGTGTAAGTTGCAAGTAACGTTCAAGGACCTACCAGAAGAAAGAAAGAAAGAAAATGATATAAGTGACAAGTATACTATAGAGGATAAATTAAAGTGTATAAAAAAGTTGTCATGTATACCTCTATAGTACGCTTAGAGATGATCATACGCCTTACATTAGAAATACCAAGGAGAAAAGCACGAATAGTATTTCTCTTGATGTCGTTCCCTGGTTTCAAAGGACTGCCACCAATCTCTACATTAAATTTAGTATCAATGTTGATCCCGTACAAAGAACTCAGATTCTTGACCGTAATTATATCAGATTGATTATCTTTGAAAGTCAGATACTCGAGCAGTGGAGCATCAATCTCAACAAGAAAGTCCGTGCCACCCCTATTGTTGGCGAACGCGTAACGAAACCTTTTCAGGCTCTGAGACTTCACACGAAGGAACAACAGAAACTCTATATGGTTACGATCAATAGGCAGTCTAACCAATGTAAGATCCTCAAGAACAGGACAGTCTGAGATGAGGCTCTTTATAACCAAAGGACCATCCTCAGTATAAAAATTGTTTTCCAAATGCATGGTCTTGAGACAAGGTAGAGAAACAACAAAACCTGGATTCGCAAGCCCTACACTTACAAGCTTTAGAAACACCAATGTCTTGCTTTTAAAAATGTTGTCAGGCATGAAATCTCTGATGCTTGGTAACATCTTAGCCTCAACATCTAAATGTTCAACTTTGCGATCAACCACAGTACTGACCAACTCCCTCAACCTACCTCCATAGTTAACGAATTCGTTGTACTTGATCTTGAACTTTCTCATTGTTGATCTGTGGTTCATCGATAGGTTCTCTGAAGCATTGAACTCCATATACTTATCCACCAAGCTAGCAAAGGCTTGTCCATTAAGAGGGAAGTCCTTAACATTTAAGTCAAGTCCTTGAACCATAAGCCAGAGACGTTCCCATCTCTTGGACAAAACACTTGTCCTAACTGAATCTTTGGTCGGAAGGTAAGAGAGTATATAAGTCAGCAAATAATCCGGCAAGTCGTTGAGATTTTTGCGACCCATCACGAAACCCTAACATTTTGGGAAAACAAAATCCATAAGATTAAAAAAAAAAAAGCCTCAAAGTATTCAGAATTATCCCTAAAATCTAGGCTTACAAGTCATTAACGTCATTTACGTAAAGATGGAGTTGAGAGAGTGAAGTGGGTGTATGAACAACTCACCGTTGATCATATAATTTGCTTGAGAGATTGTATCACTGTTTAGTTGTTTAGACAATCAATTACATCAACTTGGATCATAACTAACATAAAATTGGAGCTTGAAATCGATCGAGTTGAGGCGAAAAGGTGATTGATCAATCACACCATGAAAAATTTGTAGGCGGCGAGTGGCGCTCGTAAGATAGAGTTTAAATACGTGAAACAAACAACAAACCTAATCCACGTGTCATAAGATTTAGTGGTCGCACGGTATACAAGATTATCTTATCTCTTTTGTAATGTGGTATTAAATGTTTAACTAATCTAGAAAGATACATATTAAAAATATCTAGTCATTAGAGCTCCTTATCATTGTTTGACTATGGTGTGTAGTACCTCATTGCTACACTATTGCTCTAAACTATTGCCAAAGGTCCTCTCACTCAAATATTATCCCAATCGAAGATTAAAGAGGAAATGGGCCTCAAACATCTAAACAAACTCATCTTCTCTGTTTCCTGACCTTCATAATATATTGGGCTGTAAGCCTAAAAACAAAAATTGGGCCAATAATAAGTTTTTTTTGTTGTTTTTGACTAATTTATAAAACAAAAATTTCTAAAACTCTTGTGAAAACGTTCACTTTAGAAAAAAAGAAAAATAGAGAAACACACTTGAAAATTATTGAACTCAAAAATACTACAATAGTAATGACACATAAAATGGTTTAAAGCATATAATCTTTGGTCAACGAATCTGAAAATAACTTGAAAAAACATGAGTTAAAAAAATCGTAATTAAATACGAAACAGTTTAATAATGATTTTAGCTTACGTGTTTTTGAATTTGATTGATATATATTTTTTGCGGTCATCAGTAGATACATGTATAAATTATCATTAATACATGAATAAATGTCGTAACAGCCAAAGGAACCGACTTAAAAATTAATTTAACTAAAAATTTAATTTGAACTTCAAACAACACAAGACACAAGACTTGGAAAACTCATGTCTCGTGAATCGTGAATATGAATGAGCTTTTCGTCTTCTTCTTCTTCTTCCTCTGATACTGTTGCCTTTTAAAGCTCTTTCTTTAACTGTAAAAGAGGAAACTTTTAGAAGATGAAAGAGAGATTAAACACCAAAATCAGAAAACCCAACAATTCATCTTCCAAAAAGGTCATCACTTTTTCGTTTCTCTCTGTTTTCTCAGTCTTCGTCTTTGTTAATACTTTCTTCTACCCAAGTTTTTACTCTGATTCTTCTGTCTCAACTCGGCGCAATCTCGTTGATGATTCCCGAGAAAGTTTCGATTTTTCTGGGAATTTGTGTAAAACCAAAGTTTACATGTACGACTTGCCGACGAATTTTACTTACGGAGTCATCGAGCAACACGGCCTAGCTCGCGGCGGAGAAAGATTCGATGATGTAACCGGGTTGAGATATCCGGGTCATCAGCATATGCATGAGTGGTATATCTTCTCGGATCTTAACCGACCCGAAATGGAACGGGTCGGGTCTCCTATTGTTAGGGTATTTGACCCGGCGGAGGCGGATTTGTTCTATGTTGCGGCTTTCTCTTCGTTGAGTTTGATTGTGAATTCGGGTCGACCCGGTAACTCTGGATCCGGGTTTGGGTACAGTGATGAGGAGATGCAGGAGAGTTTGGTGGGTTGGTTGGAAGGGCAAGAGTGGTGGAGGAGGAACAACGGGAGGGATCATGTGATTGTTGCCGGTGACCCGAATGCGTTGAAACGGGTCATGGATCGGGTCAAGAATGCGGTTTTGCTTGTGGCGGATCTTGGTAGGTTAAGAGCTGACCAAGGGTCGCTTGTGAAAGACGTTATCATACCTTATTCTCATAGGATTGATGCTTATGAAGGTGAGCTTGGAGTAAAGCAGAGGAACAACTTGTTGTTCTTCATGGGAAATCGATATCGCAAAGATGTAAGATTTAAGTGATTCTTTCATTGTTCTTGATCTTGAATTTGGAAATAGAGGTTTCTTAAAGTTGAGTACTTTTGAGTTAGATATAGAGAATCCGGCCATGGTTACTAGGTTTAGTGTTCTTGTGTATGTTAGTATGTATTGGAATTGAAATGTCAAATGTGTGATTTTGACAGGGAGGCAGAATCCGAGATTTGCTTTTCAAGCTGCTTGAGGACGAAGACGATGTTGTGATCAAACATGGAACGCAATCAAAGGAGAATAGGCGTGCGGCTAAACAAGGAATGCATACATCTAAGTTTTGTCTACATCCAGCTGGTGATACTCCTTCTGCTTGCAGGTTATTTGATTCAGTTGCTAGTTTATGTGTCCCGGTGATTGTAAGTGATGGCATTGAGTTACCTTTTGAAGATGTTATAGACTACAGAAAGTTCTGTATATTCTTGAGGAGTGATGTTGCTTTGAAACCGGGGTTTTTGGTTAAGAAGCTGAGAAAAGTGAAACCAGAGAAGATTTTAAAGTACCAAAAGACAATGAAAGAGGTAAGAAGAGTTTCTTGCTTTGTCTTCTTAACTTTTGTTTGTAAGAAACTAATATTTGGGCTTGATTGGTGTAGGTTAGGCGATATTTTGACTATACACATCTAAATGGAAGTGTGAACGAGATTTGGAGACAAGTTACTCAAAAGATACCGCTAATCAAATTGATGATCAATCGGGGGAAGCGCATGATCAAGAGAGAAGGAAGTGACCCACAATGTTCTTGTTTATGCTCAAACCTGACAGGGATCATCCATGGTTCTTTGTCTACATACTCTTTCTTCAACTCCTCAAAATTCTTACCGAAATCTCCCTGATGTTTTACTTTACACGTTGATCATGCTTCACCTTGGGAGTTGGGAGAGGCGGATCATCAAAGAGCCTTCTTTTTGGAGAACAGTCGCGAAAAGAATGATCATCAATTCAAACAGCAGAAGAGAGAATCAAGCTATCTTGTTTGCATATAATCGAATCACGCAACGGGATCATCTCTTTGATCGATAACAAAATATGAAGTTGAAAAGAGAAAAAAACCGAGTCCATGCCAATGACCAAAAACACATACAACACAACAAAATTTGTATGATCAGCTGATCACATATGTAGTATTGTACAGGCAGAACAATGTAACTGTAGATAACAATTATTCAGGAGGGTGGTACTAAGACCAAATAGATGCTGAACGTGGTGGACGGAGAAGAGAGAAAAGTCTACTTTACAGATAGAAGATAACAAAGTGGAAAGTGAAATAATGCAATATATCTAAGTGTTTCTTATATCTTTGCCTCAGTTCAATGAAATGATAGTTTTGATAATTAAGCAGATGTAATTTGAGTTCTTACCACCAGACTCATTCACCAAATCTCTACAGTGAATGTAATCGTCGGTAACTCATTCACCAAATCTTTTAAGAAGCATAACGCATGATTATAACCATTTCGATGGGGAAACCACTAAACATAACCACCAATTAATTTTTAAAATGATCTCCATTGAAATTTCTCACATTGTTCTTGTTCACATCTCCTCTATTAATCACCAAACAGTTTGATTGTGTTTTCAAATATTGTAAATAATTAAATTCACTCATTGAAGTTTATAAAGATGGTAATTTGTAATATAATATTAATTTAGTTTTGTGATAATGACAATATAACAAGAGAAAAAAAAGTAGTTAAAATATTATAATGGTGCATGGTGGTAATGTGAATCATGCAGTGTCTACTCCTGAAAAGTCAAAAGTTTTTCCCTATATATATTCTAACAAAGCAAGTCAATCTTTTGATAGTTTGATTAGTTATATATATTCTACTGTTGTTCATGTCCAATGATCTAAAATATCCAAAAGATTAATGAAATCATATATCTTCAAGAAATTTGTTATTAACATTATGTTAAATGAGAAATGACAATTCTTCATAATACAAAACTCTCATCACTATATCAAATAAATGATACAAGATGAAAAAACTAATCAAAATCGAATTATTTCATAACAAAAATATCGAATGCAACAATGGACCTCTAGTTAAACATTCACCATTTACCACTCAGTCTCACTTTCTACGGCTCGATTGATTATGAAACGACCAAGTAGAATAGAGAAAACAGAGACAAGGCCTATCACATAAGGACCAAAAACTATTGTAATAAGAAAAAACAGACTTAGGAAACGTATAACAAATCTAATCACTTCATCAGTTCTTGCCATCAATTGGTTGCGTCTCGCTTCAAAAATTTTGCGTTCGCTCTCGGAGATATCGTTTAAAACTTTCTTTACCTCCTCGACGATTTTGCATACCAAATCATTCTGGCGACTAACATAACAAGATATCAAAAATATCAGTGAGTCAACTAGTAACTAACCAAGAAACAGAGTCTTGAAACAGAATCTTGAAACAGAGTCTTGAAACAGAGTATTTGGATGAAGAACAGAAGAAAAGGGACAAGTCTAGACCTGTAACGTGACGAAGACAAGCCGGATTTTCTCGAGACAAAATACAAAGCTTCCTTCCATTTCTTAAAAGTGTCTGCCTCGCCGCGATGCGTTGACTTCAGGTCCCGGAAATTGTCCCCAAACTTTCCCTTCAGTTTCTTCACATCGTCAGTTTTCATCTTAAAGAAGATAGGTATCACTATAAGACTCTCTTGTTCCACACATTCTTTAATCTTAGAAAGCTCATCTAAGCACCATCTCGACTCGGTGAAGTTCTTGGAGAAGATTGTCAGCGCGACTCTCGATTCCTCGATCCTTTTGAATAGATGGTCAAGATCTCTACCTCTAAGCTCATGATCATCTATAAAGACGTTCACATTCTCTTTCAAAAGAGCATCCACTAGAAACCCTAAGAACCCATCACGCAGCTTTACTCCTCGGAAGTTGATGAACACTTGATACTGAGGCGGGATCGGTCCAACATTGGTAAAGAGAGATAAGGAGGAGCCCATGGATGAGTGATGATGTTCTTTGAAGAAAAAAAAATATTAGAGCAAATGAGTCTATTGGTTTCAATGTGTTTTTACTTAAAATCACAATTGATTCCATAATATATATCATTGATCTACAAAGACAATTACACAAGTTGACCAGAGATTTGAATGAGTCTTATACTAATCCATATAATCTTTAATTATATTACAGCTGGTTATATAGTTGGTGAAACAACAAAATAAAAAAACAAAACATAGACTAAGTATATAGTTGTTGAAACAACAAAATAGAATAAAAACATAGACGATGAGACATAGTTACGTAATGATGATATGCGAACATTTTGGATAGGTGAATTCCAAACATCAATTTGAACACTTTTTCTTCTTATGTGAACACAAAGATGTACGTAAATGATATATCTAACATACCACCAAATGATGTATCATATAATAAGTTTTTGTTCCGCCTACACCAAACAACAAGTATTAAGAGTTGTGAATTAGAAAAAAGAACTAAAGATGGAGACGTTGAGAGAGAAAGAACAGAGGAAAGACTCTGACGGAGAAGGAAGCTTTGCTGTTATGATTAGGAAATATGTACTGTACAAATAAGAAGAGCCATCATCTCGTTTGTGGTTTTATCTCATTTGTTGTGAATTTGCCTGGCTATGTGCTAAAAGAAGATCAAATGTTAGATCTTGGTGTAATCGTTTCCATACTTTGGGTAGACGATGTCACGATACGTTTCTCGAATCTTTGTGTTACTATCTTTGTAATACTCATCTCTGTTTGAATATCGAAGTTACTTTGAGAGATTTATAGTAACTATCATTCATTCTCAAGACATCTTGGACCATCTTTGTCTTGAGTTCGTGACGACATCTATAGTGTTTATTCAAAGATTTGACACTATAGTCTTCAATCTTCTTTTGAGTTATGAACACAACAATAACTTTCCAAAACTGAGAATATTTGCAGGAGGATGTTTGACAAAATTTTCTAGTGACAAAACAAAAATCCCAAACTCGTCCAAGCCAAAGACTCTAGATGAGAAAGAGATTTCAATTTACTTCTTTCAATCATTGACCCTATCTTTTTTGTCGTCTTCTAGTCGTGTCTTCTGGTCGTGTCCTAAATTTAGATCCTTTTGTACCATTTTTCAAGAAAGACAATAACTTTTTTTTTTTAACCATGAAGTAACCTTCCTCCTATCTCTCTCTCTCTCTCTCTCTGTTGAGATCTCCCTGAAAAATTCTAAATCAGATCTTCAAAAAAGTCACCTCCTTTAAACATTCTTCCCCAATCTCTCTATCCAAAACCTAATCTCAGCCATGGATCTAGCTGCAGAAGAGCTTCAATACCTTAACATTCAAGGTATATTACGTGAATCAACAACGATCCCCAAATTTTCCCCAAAAACCTTTTACCTCATAACCCTAACCCTAATTTTCCCTCTCTCCTTCGCAATCCTCGCTCATTCCCTCTTTACCCAACCAATCTTAGCTCAGCTCGATTCATCTCCTCCTCAAGATCAATCTCAGACCAATCACGAATGGACCCTTCTCCTCATTTACCAATTCATCTACGTTATCTTCCTCTTCGCCTTCTCTCTCCTCTCCACGGCAGCCGTCGTCTTCACCGTCGCGTCTCTTTACACGGGGAAGCCTGTTTCTTTCTCATCAACAATGCACGCGATTCCTCTGGTTCTGAAACGTTTGTTCATCACGTTCCTTTGGGTTTCTCTGTTAATGCTTGTGTACAACTCTGTTTTCTTGCTGTTCCTCGTGGTTTTGATCGTGGCCATTGATTTACAGAGCGTGATTCTCGCTGTGTTCTCGATGGTTGTGATCTTTGTTCTGTTCTTGGTTGTTCATGTTTATATGACTGCGTGGTGGCATTTAGCTAGTGTTGTCTCTGTTCTTGAACCCATTTACGGGATCGCTGCGATGAAGAAGAGCTATGAGTTGCTTAAAGGAAGGACTAATATGGCTTGTACTATGGTTTTTGTGTATCTTGCTCTTTGTGGTATCACGGCTGGTGTTTTCGGTGGTGTTGTGGTTCATGGAGGAGATGATTTCGGGTTGTTTACCAAGATTGTTGTTGGAGGTTTCTTGGTTGGGATTCTAGTGATTGTGAATCTTGTGGGATTGCTTGTGCAGAGTGTGTTTTACTATGTTTGCAAAAGTTTTCATCATGAGGAGATTGATAAGTCCGCGTTACACGATCATCTTGGTGGGTATCTTGGTGACTATGTGCCTTTAAAGAGCAGTATTCAGATGGAGAACTTTGATATTTAATCGTCAAATGGATTGGATGATGATAAAGAAACAGTTTTTTGCAGTTTGTCATTGTAAGTTGTAATGTTTGTAATTTTTCTATAGTGTTTGTTTAGCTTTTTTTACATACCTAAATTAACTTGGGAATAGACTGAAATTGCAGATGTTCTGTTCCTTGTAATTTTCTTAGTGTTTTGTTCAAAATTGAAAGATTTAATGAAATAAAATTTTTACTAGACAATTTCTTAAGTCTGTTGTGCTTGAGAGCTAATTATATTGGTTAGTCATTCTTGTCATCTAAAGTATAGGTAGTGAGGAACATAGCCTAGTATATGAATTTAAATACTCTCCTCTCTCTAGCTCCATCTCGGTTCGGTTTGTTCGGGTTAACCCGTTTGCCCAGCGCTAGTTTGTAACGAGCATCCCACTCTCTCTAGCTCCATCTAGGTTGACTTAATTGTTTCTTTAGCAACAATGGAGGATATAGACCCCTTGTTCGCTTTTGTAAAGTCAGAAGTGAAGAAGACTATGCCTATACCACACCAGAGCTTGTCCTTGAAGGTAACCAGTGAGTCTTAAACTTCCCATCTTTACTCTATTGCTCTGTGGTATGGCAGAGCTAAAGAACAAAATGTTCTAACTTGGCTGATTTAAAACTTATGGTGAATGGAAAGAGGCAAAGGTAATAATCGATCAGAACAATCTTATTGGAACATCTTGTCATTTATTGCAGGAGTGAGCACATACTCTGTTTCCTACATAACTATAAGTATAATCATCACACGATAAGACCCGTAAAGAAGGCACTATCACATTAATACCCGTGACATTGTCATCCTCTTCTCTTGTTACTTAAAGAACAGTGCAGCTTCATAAGAACCTAACGAGAGAGAAGCCTCGTCTTTATAGACCACACTGATTAGGTAGAGCTTCTTAAGGGATGGGACTTGGGAGGCGAGCCTGAGAAGAAGAAGAAGAAGAATCTATGACAACCTTGTGGGATAGATTCAGTTTCACTAGCGTTTCGCATGTGTAAACAACCTTATTGGCTCTGCGGGCAGAGAACCTCAAAACGTTACAACATGCTCGTTTTAGTAGAGTAGTAACGTTACGTAGTGTATGAGTGTATCTATTTAAATTTAGAATACATCTTAAAAACTTTATAGTAAAATTTTCTAACACATCTTTTAGAACATCCAAAACTAGTTTCTCCAAGATTTTTCTAACGTTTAATTAAGACTAGACCAGTAGGTTGGTAAAAAACAATTCAAAATAATGTGAAAAGCACATGATCATAATCCGATTACTAAGTAATATATAGTCAAATATAATTTTAGTTACTAGGTTCTTCTTCGTCAATCGACCACATTACAAGTAAAGTACTTAGATTTTCTTAACTAATATTGATTAATTATTTGTTTAAAGATACTTGTTAATCTCAATGCCATTGGCCAATTGACTTTTCTCTTTTTTTACAGTTATATAGTTTCCTAGTTATTGTTTTAGGAGGTTTCTTCGTTTAAGATCACCTAAACCGAGATATAACCAAAGTTAATCTCAGTAACATGAATCCCGGTTCTCTTTTGGGTGCATGATGTCAACCCCAAAACTTAGGAAATTAAGTCTTATCTTATGTGCTAAAGTATGAATACATGTAAATGTAATATTAGTTATTACATAGTTGAAGAGAGAAATAAATAGGAGATGTTATTGCCAAAGTATCAACCAATCAATCAAACAAACAAACAAACCATGAAGAGCTTGAGCACTGACTCTTCTTCATTTTCCGGCTACGAACTGGCTGGCCCTAGTGGCACAGGCGGCAGAGCCAAGTCACGGTCTATTGGGTCTGACAGTTCGACCGGTCAGAGGGATATGATCAGAGTGGTGTTGTTGTTAACAACCGTGGCACTTTCTTGTCTTTTGGTCTATAAATCTGTGGACAAGCCTCTCCAAGTGATGTTGCCTCAATGGAAAACAAGTTGGTACTCACAAAACCAAACTTCCTTAAAGCCAGTAAGTTTCTCAATCATTTTCACTTAACAAACACACATGTGGAGTGAATCCTAGTTATATTGATTTGCTGTTGTTATATATATATATATATAGGTACAACATAAAGAACCGGTTTCAGAGCTAGAGAGAGTACTGATGAGCGCTGCTATGGAGGACAACACGGTTATCATAACAGCGTTGAACAACGCGTGGACAGCTCCAAACTCTACGTTTGATTTGTTTCTAGAGAGTTTTCAGACAGGACTAGGGACAGAGAGGCTATTAAAACATGTTATTGCGGTTTGCCTGGATAGCAAGGCATATGACCGATGTATGCAGGTTCATTCTCATTGCTACTTGATCAACGCCACTGATTCAGACGAGCTCGCGGGGAAAAACCGGTTCATGTCTCCCGGTTACTTGAAGCTCATTTGGCGACGAATGGATCTCCTAAGAGAAGTTCTCAGTTTAGGCTATAACTTCCTCTTCACGGTACGTCATAACATTAGACCATCCTTAATGCAAGGATTTTAGGGAGTATCTTACCCTAAAATTTGCAAGATACCATATTATAAGTTAAATGTTTAAACTAATAGAAATCGAATAGTGAAATACAGAAAATGATATTTAAAAGACTTTATAGAGCTCTAGACCAATGACCAAAGGCTTGAAATTGAAGCTACGCATACCTTTTATGGTTTGAATTCTTGTTTTAATATACTTTTTCTTTATAAGCTGGTCAAGGTTACTAAATAAATAGACCAATCAACTTATTTTTCTTTCTTCGATATTTTATTTTTGATGTGTTCTTTATATATTGAATAAAATGTGTAGGATGCTGACATCTTATGGCTACGTGATCCATTCCCACGGTTCTTTGCAAACGCCGATTTCCAAATATCATGTGATGATTACAATGGAAAACCTTCTGACAAAACCAACCACGTAAATTCAGGATTCACATATGTCAAAGCCAATAACAAAACCCGAAATTTCTACAAGTATTGGTGCGACTCGAGCAATAGATTCCCTAAAAGACATGACCAACATGTTTTCAATTCCATCAAGAACGAACCGATCGTCGCGGAAATCGGGATTACCATGAGGTTCTTGGACACGGTTTACTTCGGCGGGTTTTGTGAGCCGAGCCGTGACATCAACGTTGTTAACACTATGCATGCAAATTGTTGTATTGGTTTGGACAACAAAGTGAAGAATCTTAAAGCCGCTCTTGAAGATTGGAAGAAGTATTTGTTGGCTAATACAACCGTGACCGAGACTAAATGGAATATTCCACCAAGGTGTGGTTATTAGAGAGGTTGTGAATGTATTCAATAACAAACCATAAAAAATATCTTTTATTCAAATAAGGTTATACAAGATGTCATATAAGATTATGTTATACTAGTTGTTGACCCGCGCTGTGCGCGGGAGGTTTATAAATTTTTTTATTTTATTTTTAGTTATATTATAATTTTTCGTTATTTTTTTTTTGTTTTGCATTGTTTGTTTTGTTGGCTTTTTACTGTTGTTATTTTTTGTTATTCTATTTTTCATATCAATTATTTTTTCAATTTTATAGTAATTTAGTATTTGAAATGTTTATCATCATTAGGTATTCATCAGAGGTCGATGGAAAGTTTATGCGGTATTCTCTCTTTTTACTAAGTATGTGATTAGAGAGATAAAGTTTCTGGTGTCTGGGTTTGATATATTCTAGGATCTGGCTTGTTTCCCGTTTTTTCCTACGTTCGAACCCGTGTATTCCGGCCAAAGATTTTGAAATCGGTATCGTTGTTGCAGATGTGTCGCTCTTGTAAACAATGGTTCTAGAAAATGTTTTTCCTGTTCCGTTTAATCATCCAGTTCCAAACTCGTGTATCCCACGTTTTTATGATTTTTTTAACCGGTTTGATTGTTATGTGTTGGACCTCATGTCCATGTTTTTTTAGATTTTGTATTTTGATTGTTGTGGAAGTGTTGGACCTCAAACCCATATTCTTTTGGATTTAGTAAAAATAAAAATGATGATGTGGTGGATGATGTGGCGGAAGGAGAAGAGAGGAAAGGTAACTTTATATATATAGATGCACAATGTAGTTTAAAGTTCAAAATTTATATTTCAATAATAATAAATTTGTAGAAACTAACAGCTAATAGTAGTAAAGTTATCGTAACAAATTAATTAACGGGATGTTGAAGCGTTTAAGTCTTATATAACCCTAAAAAGGGAAAGTAATATTTTGATACATAAAATAAAGTGTAGATCTTATTCTAAATTCACGTACGGACATATATCCACAATTCATGTCTCCATATCATTGTATACATTATAGATTAAACAAAAATGTTTAGGAGATTTGTTTCACTTACTCAGATTTTATTATATAGAATGACATACGTAACACTTTGAAAGATACCTATTCTACAATATACTAAACGTATAGTGAGAATGAATGTTGAGCTAACTTGTATACAAGCATTTTCTCTATCTTCCCAAAGAATCAATCAATCAAATCAAACCATATCAAGAGTATGAGTATGAGCACTGGCTCTTCTTCTTTTCCAGGCAAGAAACTGGCTTGCCCTGGCGGTAAAGGCAGAGCGATAATACGGTTTATTTGTTCGGACAGTTCGATGACCGGCCAAAGATATGTGATGGGAGTCGTGTTGTTGCTCGAAATCATCACTGTTTATTGTCTTTTTGTCTACACATATATGAAAAATCCCCCTCAAGTGATGCGGTTTCAATGGAAAAGCCATTGGTATTCACCAAACCAAACTTCTTTAAAGCTGGTAAGTTTCTCAATTTTATTCACATGTGTATAAACTTTGTTGTATATATTTATGTTGATTTGATGTTACATGTAGATAGAACGAACAAAACAGGTTTCAAAGCTAGAAAGAGTACTAATGAATGCGGCTATGGAGGATAAAACAGTGATAATAACGGTGTTAAACAGTGCGTGGACGGTTCCAAACTCTACGTTTGATTTATTTCTTGAGAGTTTTCAAACCGGAATTGGGACTGAGAGGTTATTGAAGCATGTGATTGCGGTTTGCTTGGATAGCAAGGCCTATGACCGATGTGTACAAGTTCATATTCATTGCTACTTAATCAATACCTCTGATTCTGAAGAACTCTCAGGGATAAACCAGTTCATGTCTCCCAGTTACTTAAAACTCATTTGGCGGCGAATGGATCTCCTAAAAGAAGTTCTCAGCTTAGGCTATAACTTCCTCTTCACGGTAGGTCATATCATGATCAATAAAAGTTAAATCTAAACCAATTGAAACCGAAGCTATAATAAGCAAAGGATACAGAACACTAGTTAGAATTTTGTCTAATTCAATAATGTTATTAATTGTTTTTACTGATTATATAGGATGCTGACATCTTATGGTTCCGTGATCCATTTCCTCGGTTCTTGTCCAACGTTGATTTACAAATATCATGCGATGGTTACAACGGGAAACCTTCGGACAAGAACAACTACGTGAACGCTGGATTCATATATGTCAAGGCCAACAATAAAACTCTAAATTTCTACAAGTATTGGTGCGACTCGAGCAAGAGATTTCCAAAAAGACACGACCAAAATGTTTTCAATTCCATCAAGAACGAACCGTTCGTAGTGGAACTTGGGATCACGATGAGGTTCTTGGACACAGTTTACTTCGGTGGGTTTTGTCAGCCGAGCCGAGACATCAACTTGGTTAATACTATGCATGCAAATTGTTGTATTGGTTTGGAGAACAAAGTGAAGAATCTTAGAGCCGCTCTTCAAGATTGGAAGCAATATTTGTCCGCAAATACGAAAGTGACTGAGATTAAATGGAGTATTCCACCAAGGTGTGGTTATTAGAGGGCGACTTTGATCCATTGTTTTTGAAGGTTTAGAGGACGATTTCGGCTGAAATTAATATCTGGAACGAAAAGGTATGGTTAGACTTCTAAGATTTGTTAAGAAACCACCAATAATGATGGCTTTAACCTCTGGATTATATCCTTGTTAACCTTGTCATAACTTGGTAAATTGTTAATCCTAGTAGCATAAGTAGATCAAATCTCATCAGTGAAATTTTTATAACCTTTAATCTCATTAGAGCTGTCAAATAGTCCGTCCATAGTGTTGGATTTTCCAAACCAAGCCAACTTTCCATTAGTATGATAATATCCGCTTTGAGCCCGCACGGATTTGTTGGGCTTCTTCATAAAAGGTCTCATACTAATTGGAGTTGGACTTGACTTATATATTTCAAACTTCTTTTCTAATCTTCCGATGTGGAATATTGGTTTGTATTTCAATACATAGATCATTGGACTTGTTCAAACATGATAATTTTATTTATGGATAATAATTAGACGGTACTTAATAGACAATGATCCAAAAAATGTATGCGCGACAAAGACTATGTTTAGATAAGCATTCTTATAGACCGTCCATTTTAGTTTTTGTTATATATTTTTATTCATAATTTATTACATATTAATGCTAATAAAAATGATATATTGAATTTACAATTATAATGTTGGTTATGATGATAAAGATGATAGATTAAATTTAAAATTCTTTTATTAAATAAATGATGTATATCTATACATTAATAAAAAAGAATTAATTAACAAAATTTAATATATATTAATAGTAATAAAAATGATAGATTGAATTTACAATTATAATGTTGGTTATAATTTATAATTATAAAATAGTTCAGAAGCGGTAATATAGTAATTTTGGGCTTTCATAAGTTACTCGATGGAGTTTCGTGGTGGTGAAGCTATCAGCTAGGAGATGTTTTTGCCAACGTTGAAGCTTTCTTATTAGTAGCACCATGTCTCCTCTCTCTCACTGATCAATTTGATAGAAACGACTCGTAGAGACCTAACAAGATAGCATATGTTTTAATTTTAGTTACTCAACTATATTGATATATATTGATTAAAATTATTTTTTTGGTTTTTTTTTTAAGTTTTAATTCTTTTATGGATTTTAATTGGTTATGAATTAAATTGAGAAAAAAATTATTGAAAAAAACTAAGACAATATAAAATGGATAATTTTTAAAAACTTTATCATACATCAAATAATTTTTACTATACAATAATATAGGTATTATCATATAATAACTTCTGTATTCTTCTGTATCATATAATAACATTGAATAGTACATTCAAATCTCATATTTTATTTTAAATTACTGTCCATCTATATGTTTCAAACACTACCAGATAAGTAGAAAAATATATTGGTTTTTAATATCAATGGCAATGTTACACAGAACATAGTGCTTGTATTTGTAAACTATCAGTTAATATCTATTGCAATGAGATCACTATGTACATCCAAATTTAATTATGCTTATGAGTTTTTCCAAAAATTTTTTTTTTAATCTTTTATTCAATTAATTCATTCCCCTTTTAACCAATATTCTCTGCTATATCTTTTGATTCTATTTTATTTATTTTATAGTATGATTTATTTATAAATTTATTTATAAAATTATTTAATAAAACAGATAATATCACTCAAGAATATCCACACTAATGATTCTAGGCATAAGATATGCAAATTTTCAAAAACTATATCCATGAACTAATTTTAAAATCTACACCCATGATTTTGTATGTGTATATATATATATATATAAGTGATGGGTTTTGATTTTAAAATTTGTACATATGGGTGTAGATGTTCATCACTTATACATACATTACATCCCATATAATCATCTGATCATCATCACACAATGGTACATATGAAATCAAATTAAATTTTGATGATAAATTGATATGTTTTCTTTCTTTCTAACAATGATTTTTGGATGTTCTAGGAAATTATACTACGCATTTTGTTCTTGTTGACTTTATTACATAATGTTCTTGTAAATGGCCAAATCTATGATGTTCTTAAATTTGGTGCCAAGGGAGATGGTGTCTCCGATGATTCAAAGGTATTATATTGGAAGCTAATATCTTGTTTAATTTATTCTATGAAAATGTCAGAATTTTGAAAGAAAAAATCAACAAAAATATATTATCATATGATATACGACATTAGAGCTTACATAATTATTAGTTTATTATTCACTTTACTACAAGTTAATCAAAATCGTTGTCCCAAAATTCTAGTTACTGTCTTACTGAGTTAAGAATTCTTATATATTTTGATCTTTTGATAAAACAAATAGGCTTTTGTCAAAGCATGGAGTGTTATGTGTGGGTGTGGTGGAAATAATAGCACACTCCTTATTCCTTCGAACAAAACATTCTTACTACAACCTCTTATATTCCAAAGGCCTTGTATATCTCCTTCCGTACAAGTTAAGGTAACAATTGGTCCTTTTTTATATAAGAAATATCATTCACAACTTTATGTGAACTGAAATTAAATAAAATTATTTTATATGCATATTAAAGGTCTGCAAAAAAGTAGTTTATGTGCATATGAAAAAATCATTCACAACTTTAGGATTTTTTTATTTTATTTTGGACTTTATGTATTCGTTTATGCAGTTTGATGGAAAGATCGTTGCGCCTATAAATAAAGCAGCATGGTTGAAATATAAGTTGTTAAGATGGGTTAGTTTTACCGAAATCAACGGTTTAACAATTATTGGTTCGGGAACAATTCATGGACGTGGTTCATCATTTTGGGAGGTGACAAGATTTACATATACAAAAATTTTGGTAAAAAAGATGCAATTTTTAATATGTGAACCTTATATTTTTCATTTTCTCATATTCAGCCAAGAATGTCACCTTCAAAACGGCCTACTGTGAGTTTATGTTCTTCCCACTAAATTTATTGTCAATTCTAAAAAAAAAAGATAGCTTTCTCTATATATGTATTACGATGTTCATGATACATTGTTTTTTGTTTTCTAACAGCAATTGCATTTTCAAAGATGCAATGATCTCAAGATAATTGGAATAACTTCATTCAACAGTCCGAAAAATCATATATCGATTAACGAGTGCAAAAGAGTTACAATAACGGAGATTAAACTCGTAGCTCCTCACGATAGTCCTAATACTGATGGAATTGATATCTCTGAATCAAGTAATATTGATATTTACGACACCGTTATTGGAACAGGTACATAGCCATATACATGTCTCTCTTACACATTAATTAATTATAAATTTTGATGAAATGTTAGAAAAAAATGGTTATTTAGATTTTATTATAATTTGAAAATATTCTAGGAGATGATTGTGTAGCGATAAACAATGGAAGTATGAATATCAATATCACAAGAATGAATTGTGGACCTGGCCATGGAATAAGGTATATTGATCAATACCATTATACATATACTATTTGTTTTTATTGATCAATACCATTATACATATACTATTTGTTTTTTTTTATTCTACAGTGAATTTTATTATTTATATATTTAATTAAATTACAGTGTGGGAAGTCTAGGAAGAGATGGAGAACAATCTATGGTTGAAAATGTCCAAGTGACTAATTGCACTTTCTTTAGGACAGATAATGGAGCTAGAATTAAGACATGGCCGGTAATAATTTTTAAATTCTATTTTTCCATATTAAAACTAAACAAATTGTGATATTATTGACATATATTCTAAATGATATATATTTACCTTTTTATTTTTTTATTTTAGAATGGAAAAGGATACGCAAGAAATATACTTTTTAAAAGCCTCAAATTCACTGAAACCAAAAATCCGATAATAATTGACCAAAATTATGTAGATAAGGGTCGCATAGACGTGGAGGTAAATAATTTTAAGATGAATATTTCTATATAGTAAAATATTTCTTAAAAGTAGAACTCGAATTCAAACATATTTTGTATTTTCTTGTAGGAATCAGCAGTAGCAATTAGTAACGTGACATTTACAGATATTAGTGGAACGTCATGGTTTGATGAGATTATAAAGTTAGATTGCAGCAAAGTCACATATTGCAAAGACATTGTTCTTGATAAAATCGATATCGCTACGACTGATGGAAATACGCCAATTGTTCAATGCACTAATGTGTATGGAAAGTCTATAAATGCTCACGAGGTCGATGGTTGTTTCAAAAGATAGTATCCATTTTCATAGAAAATCTGATGTAATGATATATATGATCAACTATTTTTATATGTATGATCAAATAAATCAGTTTTATAGTTTAGATTATTTCAATGTAGTAATTTTATTTCTTTTTGTTTAAGTTATGTATATTGTTTCTCATTTATGTAAATACATAACTTGTTAAATAAGTATAAATAAGTATTGAAAATGTTAACCTAAAGTTAAAATTTTCTTTGTATAAGAAATTGTTGAATAACTATTGAAAATTCAAAAAAAAAAAGAAGACGAAATGAGTTTATTATTTATCATATAATAAAGATTAAAAGTTTGATCTTTTTTCATTAAAATAATTCAAAGAAAAATTACTTTGTAATTATCGAATGACAATGGAATAAATATATTTCTATATCTCAAAATCCTATATCCATCTATTAACCTATATATCTCATTCTGTTTTTTCCATTTTTCGTTCATCCTTATCATTTGGAGCTTAAGTGAAATAAATTTGCCAACAAAAAAGTGGAATAAATTTTTCTTTCTCATTTATTTTTTTTGACCAAGCAAATGGTAACATTTTAGTGAAATGAGGAAGACATTTGGGGGGATTTTCTGCCATATATATTCAATTAAAAACAAAATTCTATTCAATTAAAAAATATTCTGACATTTTAGGGAGAAAATCAATTTTATGAAGTCAATAGATTTTATAAAAAAAAAAGAAAGAAGGGAAATTGTATCAACGATTTTATATATATACACACATGCACACAAGTGCTTATAAATATGTTATTGACAACACATACACACACAGTCACATACCAGCTTACAATCACACAACTAATAATAGTCATTTCAAAATGGTAAAGATCAAATATAATATCTTCAAAAATATTATTATATTTTCAGTTCTAACCTCTTTTTTTTGGTATTGTAGGAAAATATATTACATATTATGTTCTTCGTTAATTTTCTATATTTTGGGATTGTAAACTGTAAAATCTATAATGTGCTTGATTTTGGTGTTGAAGGAGATGGTCAAATTGATGATTCAAAGGTACATTGTATAACGTATCTAGAGGAGATATTTTAGTTTGTATATGTTTACAATATGTATGGCTTTCATTATTTCCTTATTTAAATGATAATTTCATTTATTTTCTTATATTTGAGTGATAACCATAAATTATATCTTAACATGAAGGCTTTCATAGAAGCATGGAAAACTATGTGTGGAGATGAAGGAGACACAAAAACAATATTGATACCCTCTGGTCATACTTTCTTACTTCAACCTCTTCAGTTCGAAGGTCCTTGTGGATCTTCTCCTGTATTTCAGGTATTTCTCTTGAAATTTATTTTGGTTTCTTATAAAGAAAATATATTTATATTTTTTTCCTTAAATATTTGGATTCATATTTATACTTATTAAAATAAAACCAAAAATATAGTAATTTTATCAACTTAAATTTTTAAAAGTAAATTAATGTTAAGAAAACTATCAGAGATTTAACATAGAATATGTTTGCAATTTACAAAAATATAGTAATTTTGATTAGTTTACATAATTTATGATGATCTTATAAAAAAACACAACCAAAAAATTTGAAATTATGTATTATATATATGATCTAAAATTTATGTAATTAATAAAGTTTGACAAAATGTTCTTTTATGTATATATATAATCTCAATATATGCAAGTCAGATAATCAATTATTAGATGAGCCCATTTTAGTTTGTTGCTGAAAAAAGAAGAAGATAATCAATTAGTATTAGTCAATAGTGTTGGTGATAATTAAGTGATAACTTTAGCATCAAATAAATGATTTTTTCAATGTATTTACTAATCAACTAGAGAAATAAAAATTCATGAAATAACGTAACAAAAAGAAAGACTATAGATACACATCAACTTTGCAGATGGATGGAGATATTGTTGCACCTAGTGAGCAAAGATTGGGGTTGGACTTGAATCAGAAATATCACAAGTGGATAGCTTTTTCAAATGTAAACGATCTAACGGTGTTTGGTTCAGGGAGTATCAATGGATTTGGTTCATCTTTTTGGGAGGTAATATATATATATATATATATATATATATATATATAACTATGTATTTCTTTTAGTATATATTATCTAATGCATAGTTTTTTTCATCATCCTACCAACTCATATAATAGTTTTATTTTATGATTTTAGGGAAATGAAGTTAATCGACCAACTGTAAGTAATATATTTATTATTTTGATATCAATATTATTTTGGAATTTATCAATTGATGAATTTTTTTTTTTTGCAGGCAATGGATTTTCACAATTGTAATAACCTCAACATAAGCGGGATAACTTCCAAAGATAGCCCAAGAAATCATATATCAATCAATAGTTGTAACAATGTTGTGATATCGAATATACAACTCTTTGCACCAGAAAAAAGTCCTAATACTGATGGAATTGATATATCCACCTCGACCAATGTTACAATATCAAAATCCACAATTGGGACTGGTATGTAATTCTATAAATATTTATGTTTTTTATTTATTTCATTTTTATAAAATTAAATTATTATTCATGTTAAATTTGAGATAAAATTAATTGCAGGAGATGATTGTATAGCTTTAAACACTGGAAGTGTTAATATTAACATTACAGAGATTGTTTGTGGACCTGGTCATGGTATAAGGTACTTATGATTAATGCCAACAAACTTACACATGTGTTTTGATTGTTTAAATTTATTTTTAGATCATTCATATAAATATCTTAAATTAAAAGTTGTGAATGGTTTTACTTCTATCAAATGTAAAAAACTAAATGATTGTTTACTAATAGTCAATATATATATTGAATACAGATAAGTAAATCACTTTGCTGAAAAAGTATATACCCTATTCTCTTACTAAGTTATTCATAATTAAGTAAATTAGAACTTTTCATTCAAAAGAGTGTATAATTAAAAATAATGGAACAATTTATATGATAAACTAAAAGGTTTTTTTTTTAATAACACAAAGCAAAATTCTTAACCATTTTAAAATTTACTCCAAAAACCAAAAATCTGTATCTAATTTAGAAAATTTAACGAATATTAATTTTCTTAATTTAAATAAAAATTTAGTGATTAAATTCAAAAAAGTATCTAATTTAATTTAACATCAAATTCCAAAAAAAAGTAACCAATTATTTACCATGATTACACAGTATTGGAAGTCTGGGAGCTAATGGACAAGTAGCTAAAGTTGAAAATGTCCAAGTGACTCATTGCATTTTCAACAAGACATCAAATGGAGCAAGGATAAAAACTTGGCAGGTATGACTTTTTCACTTTGAAAAATAAAAAGTCACTTTGAATAATAATAACATTAGTTGTTTCTCCATTTAAAAAAAAAATTAACATTAGAAAAATAATAAAATATCGCAATATGAATAAAAAATTGACAAAAAAAATTATAGACCTCCCGCGCGTAGCACGGGTCGACTGCTAGTTACTTATAAACTTCAGTTTTTAATTTTGTGTGTGTTAGGGTGGAGAAGGATACGCTAAGCATATATATTTTGAGCACATTACCGTAATTGATGTAATAAACCCAATTATTATCGACCAACAATATATTGATAAAAGACATATCAATTTTGAAGCTGAGAAGGTATTTTATTTTTAATATTAATATTCCAAAAGCATACAAAATTCTTTTAACGATTAAAAATGCGTGATTTTTTTTTTCCTTTTTTTGGATAGGATTCAGAAGCTGTGGCGATAAGTGATGTAAAATTCATTGATTTTCATGGAACGAGCCCAAATGAAAAATTTATAACACTAAATTGCAGCAAAATCAAGCCTTGCAAAAACATTGTTGTGAATGGTATTGATATTGTTACGGAAGGGGTAACATCTAAAATTGTTTCTAACCAATTGATGTGAAATTCTAAAAGTTTTATAGAGTAGTCATTAATGTTTACAAGAGGTATAAGTTTCTAAACATAAGATATAGATTTTGGTATCTTATTATTGTCAAGCAATGTTATCTAAGCGGCGTAATAATAAATTTTTGCTTTTATAATCACCTTTCAACTTTAATACAAAACTAATTGTTTTAGTTTGAAAAATGCAAATAAACCAAATTTATTTTGATTATGATTAAACATTTTAATTTTGTTTATACTTCCTCAGTTTCAAAATATAAATGTTTGAAGTAAAATCATGCATATTAAGATCTACTTTAGAAAAAATCAACCATAAAAAGACTATATAATAGAAACAATCATAAGATATTAAATTAATTTATAATTTGCATAGAAACTTAAATGAAACAAACAAGTTTCTCTATAACATTTTATATGATGAAAGAGATATAGTATATTACAAAATCTGTTTACTGTTAACAGGATATCTGGAAACAACACCAATACTGACGGTGCCAAGGCTCTTGAGACTCATGCTGACATGGCTTTACGTCTTGCAAAAGAACTTGAAAACACGACGATTAGCGATTCCGATAAGGAAACCGTGCGCCGAGATCTGTTTGGTAGTGAATCAACCCAATTTGTGGTGTTTACCGAACAAATTTCGGCGCATGATTTCCCAATCGGAATCGCTAATCTTCTTGCTTTCAAATTCTTTTGAAAGATGTAAAGCTATGTTAACATGAGTCTCAGGAGCCTTGACACTATCAGTGTTGGTGTTGTCCACGATAAACTCTCCAAACTACTAAAAAAAACTAAGAATTTACTTTTTTAAAAATCAAGAGAGAGGCTAGATTTTAAAACTGAGAATACTTTTTTGTTTGAGAGTATGAGAAATAATGAGAGACTGAACCTCTTTATATAGTAGTAGGAGTAGAAGGAGTAGAAGGAGATAAAGTTTCAGAAGAATATTTTTGGTATATTCTGTAGAATATTCTTGGCATAATCTGCAAAATATTCTCAAAATATCTTAGGCATATTCTTTGTAGTGCATGCCAAGCCTTGTAAAAAAACTTGGGCCTAACAATGGTCAAAAAAAAAAAAGTCTATCTACTCACATCACATAAGACACTAGTTAGCTTTAATCAAAATTCAACACAACATGTAAAATTAACTACAAAAGACAGCTGGTTAAATTCCATATCTCTCATATAATTTACACAAGAAAGTTTATAAAGATCAAATAAATAATTTTACCAATCTAGTAATGTTTAAACGTAGTCGCATACTAATCTTTCTCTTGTCTACTTTAGGGAGAATCCAATAAACTCTTCCACTTTGGTTTAAAAGTTAGGTTCAGCCTTAAACTCACATTTGTAAGCTAGTGAATCACATTTTACCCCAAAAAACTCAATGTACCCAATTCATACGCAAACTCTTTGTTATTTTTTTGTCTTATGAACTCAATCACATTTAACTTATTGACTTCATAACTTTAGAAAAATAAATAAATGAGAGAAATAAAATAAGTCTATCATGGCAACCACAAACATTTGTTTATGAAAATTATTATAACTAATTACTACTACTAATAAGAAACGCCCACGTGTTTAGTCTCTAGTGGAGGTGTTAGGCTACTGTGATTCTAGTCAAATTATTGTATAGTCTTCTATTAATATTCTTTTGTTTGCTTGTCATAAGTCTTCTATTAATAATTAACTCTAATTATTATCATAACAGAGCAGTCTTTATGATATTTCTGGTGGATATGAATCTGAATTTTTATTTTTATTGTTTGATACATTAGCCTAATTTATTTTAATAAAATATTATATAATTTCTTAACTACAAAAATAATTTTTATAGTTATTCATATTCTATTTTCCTCTTTTTTTAGTTTTGTTGTCAAAAAAAAATAAAATAAAAAATTCCAATTTAAGCAACAAAAACAAATTATCAAAATTCTAATTAAATTTTTTTGTATACATATGGGACTTTCATATAAAAGTTAACATTTTCTTTTTCGTCAATATTCATTTTAAAATTAAGATTCATGATATAACAATGCACGATTCTACCACTTGTATTATTTTTTTGGAATCAGTCTTTTTAATTAAAAATAAAATAGTATTTTCTAACATTGCTGTTACAAGAATACCAATAATGACTTTTGCCTTGCTCTCATACGTTATTTAAGAACCGACAAAAAAAAAATGAAGACTTGAATGAAGAAGAAAAAATAAACACTTACAAACAAAATGATGAGCTCTTCGTCTTCCTCCTCCTCTTCTTCTTCTTCTTCTCGCAGTAAATCTATAGATTCAGGATTTGTAATCGGACAAAAGGAAGTAACAAGAATCTTGATACTGTTTCTTGGTTTAACTGCTTCATGTCTTGTTTTATACAAAGCAGCTTATCCTCTGCAACGACTTGATGTCACCAATCTAAACTCTCTTCTTGCTTCTCCATCTTCACCATTACCAAATCTCAACTCAATAGAGATCACTCCAGAAACAGTAAGCTCTCATTATCATTTTTTATTCAGATCTGATATATATACTCTATTTCGTCTTGTTTATAGGGTTTGAATCTGTAATTTTGAGACGAGTTTTGTTGTTGTTTTAAGGCAAAACCAAAGCTTAGTTTCAAGGAGATTTTGGAGAAAGCGTCGAACAAGAACAGGACAGTGATTGTAACGACATTGAACCAAGCTTGGGCAGAACCAAACTCTCTGTTTGATCTTTTCTTAGAGAGTTTTCGTATAGGACAAGGAACACAACGATTGCTGAAACATGTTGTAGTTGTTTGCTTGGATCCCAAGGCGTTTAAGCGGTGCTCGGAGCTTCATACTAATTGTTACCACATTGAAACCTCAGAAACTGATTTCTCCGGTGAGAAAGTTTACAACACTCCTGATTATCTCAAGATGATGTGGCGCAGAATCGAACTTCTTACTCAAGTTCTTGAAATGGGTTTTAACTTCATCTTCACGGTACGATCTTAATTTTTTAAGCAGTATTAATCTTCTTCTTTAAATACATGATCAATATCTTTGAAAATGGTTTTGCAATAATTTCAAATTTTCACAATCTTCCACTTCATTCCTCTGTGATTTTTGTTTAAAGTTTTTTATTTTATTTTTTGGACAACTTTTGTTTACACGTATAAAATCAAGAAATGGTAGAAATATCATAATGCTTTTGGGATTTAAAATGATTTTACAAGTCACATTCATCGTATGTTTTTCGGTTTTTTTCATTTGTTTTTTCTCCATTAATTGATTGTTATGGCATTTTTGGAAATTTTTTTTTAATTTATCCGCCGAAACATTATATTTTTTTCATGCAAACATGTGAAACGTATAATGGAAATTTTATTGATGAAACTTTTACAATGTAGCCCATATATAAATCTTTATTCCACAATCCACAGCAAAAGTTTTTGTAAACAGCCAAAACAAAGGCTTCTTGTTATTTTTATAAATATTTATTTTCACTTTTATAATTACAACTTGCACCCTAAATCAAGATTTTCAGCTATTTCTTTCAACCCTTTTTATTTTATAAATTTTGCGTCCCATTTTTTGTACTTGCACCATAAATCAAAAATTTTCCGTTTTTAGATTTCGCTAGTTTACTCCACATTATCAAGATGAGTCAAGTTCTTTTTGTCCATTAGATCGATCTTGCAATGTTCTCAATAGGAGCTAATGGCTTATATACAACCCTTGTGCACATTTTTAATGTAGGACGCTGATATAATGTGGCTTAGAGATCCATTTCCTAGGCTATATCCAGATGGAGATTTTCAAATGGCATGTGACAGATTCTTTGGAGATCCTTTAGATTCAAACAATTGGGTCAACGGTGGTTTCACATACGTAAGATCAAACAACCGAAGCATCGAGTTTTACAAATTCTGGCACAAATCTCGTTTGGATTATCCAGAGTTACATGATCAAGATGTGTTCAACAGGATCAAACATATGCCTTTGGTCTCTGAGATTGGGATCCAAATGAGATTCTTTGATACGGTTTACTTTGGTGGGTTTTGTCAAACGAGTAGAGACATAAACTTGGTTTGCACGATGCATGCTAATTGTTGTATTGGTTTGGAGAAGAAGCTTCATGATCTGAATCTTGTTCTTGATGATTGGAGAAAGTACTTGTCTTTGTCGGAACCAGTGCAGAACACGACGTGGAGTGTTCCTATGAAGTGTTTGGAGGATTGATTAATTAGCTTTCTTTCTTCTTTGTTTTTTGAGATTTGGATGAACGGTCAATTTTAAAATGAAGAGTTTATTCTTATTATTGGTGCATGGAATATTGTATAACTCTCTCTAATCTAATCAATTTTATTTTTTCGTTATATAATCCTCCAAGTTTGTTAATGTTAATCCTTTAAAATAGTTCGAGCCGAATTCTTAGATAGTAAAATGATCCTTTGGTAATTTTGGTTTGAAATGTAAATACTGAATATATTTTGTGTTGTGAAATGTTATAATTTAAAAAAAAAAAGTTATTACTTTTTTATTTATGAAATTATAGTGTAAATTTATAAGTGTTATATATCAACCATGAGAGTATTATTTTTCATTTAACCAATTTTTAGATTAAAATTAGTTGCTTAAATATATAGAATCTATATATATATATATATATATATATATATACATAGTTATGTAAGTGATGTAGATTTGTACATAAATAAATATATATAGAATTTATATATACATAAATATTTTTCATTTAACCAATTAGTAGATTTGTAGATTTAAATTAGTTGCTTAAATTGATATATACATATTGTAAGTGATGTGAAAAAGAAAAATAAAAAAAAATGGTTGCGTTAAGTATTAATTTTGATTTGGGCCTAGGTTTATTACAATTTTTTCAAAAAACTCAGAGGAGTTGGGGTTGAAACCCATGATGCCACGATGGGCTCGAAAAAACCACAGTGCCAATATAAGCACAGCGTAAGTGGCTTGCCAATTTGACCATGATGCTCTCGACGGTTTGGAATTACTAATCAAATTTTGTCGAACTTAAAAACTTAAGCGCAGCTTATGATACTACAAAATTACAAATACAAAGATATGATGTTTCTTTTTTGTTATTGAATTGAATTTTGGGTCAATTTGGATATGACTTCAGAAGATTGTCATACCTAGATGGCTAGATCCAACTACCACCCACGAGCAACCATTTTCCAACAGTCATTTAGTTTTTTTCTTGTTAGATTAGTTTTACTTATCTAACAACTGAGGTAAAAATACTGAAGAGACCACATCTATAATAAGGACATTTCAGTTGTTGTGTGTTAAAAACAAAATCCAAAATAAAACCACTTTATAGTTATTTAAAAAAAAAATCAGTAAAATAAAATAAAATTATGACAGCAATCACTTTCAAAGGGCCTCTTCTCGAATACTATATGATCCTATAATGTCAATCACAAGTAACCTTAAGTTTCGGCCCAAATACACCTGCTGGTCCATTTTTTTTTTTCCCATTTAATATAATAATGTTTTGAGTTAAATTAAATAAATAAATATCCAGTAAAAAAGAATATATAAAAATTGAAAGTCAAAAGGTACATTCAAATTTTAAGGTTATTTCCGTCAAAAATTAAAAGAGAATCTAAAATACCAATAGTATAAACGAAGATTATCATTTCTTCTGTGGCGGCGTTTTAGATTTGATTGCAAACTAAAAAGCGAATTTAACTAAAAAAATGCTAAAAACAAATTACAAACCTGAGAAAAACAATAAAAAGATGAAGAAACTAATAAGTGAGACAAAAAACGATTCGAAAAGATCCATGGCGGATTCTGTCTGTCTGTGTCTCTCTCTTCTTCTGCTGTCCTTGGATCGCACTTATTGTAAGAAGAAGAAGAAGAACAAGCAAGCAAAGGGTTCGAACCGAAACGGAGCCAAAAGCAAAAAAAAAGGCGAGAGATCTTTATGTTGTTGGTGAGTGTGGTGTGAGAGAGAGGGAGAGAGACACGTGGCGAGAGAAGAGAGGTGGAGATGTCACTCTCCGTTCCCGGTTCTGTCTCGTGCGGTGCGCGTTTGGGTTTTTGTTGCCATGTCAGAGTCCGTTCCCTTCACCTTCTCCTATGAGCCCGGCGAATCCGAATCATATGCCTTTCTTTTCGCCACCTCTCTCTCTCTCTCTCCATCTAACCCCAAACCCGTCTCTCCCTAAAGACTTGACCTTTCTCTCTCTCTCTCTAATTTATTTATCGTTTCGCGTGTCGCCTTCTTCTTCTTTCTATCATCTCTCTCTCTCTCTCTCTCTCTCTCTCTCTCTCTTTCTCTTTCGTATCTCTCTCTCTCTCTCTTTTGAGGCCGTGCCCTAGAGTCTTAGAGAAGCCCCTTTCCCTTTTTCTCCGGGACTTCAATCCCTAATCGCCGGAGATTTCTCCTCCCTTGATCATCGGAAAGACTCTTCTTTATATACTTTCCCCCGATTTGAGATTCCCCAGATTTGTAATTTTTTTGTAAGTTGTTTCTCACCTTTTTTCTGGGTTAGTTTTGGTTTTAGATGCTTGGTTTTGGGGTTTTGTTGCTTCTGTGAGGTTAATGCTGGTTTTGGTTAGTGTGATTTTGGTCTCGTTTCTATGTCAATTGGGTTTTTATTTTTAAGTACCAATGTGTCTTGTCTTTATGGGTTTGCTGTTTGAATTCATGTTTCAAAGCATGTGTTTACTTTGAATACTAGTGTGATTATTGATTTTCTAATTATGGTTTTGCTTGACTAGTGTTAGTTCAGTTATATGTATGAGATCATTGATGTATGTTTCTCAACTAGTGAATTTGCCATAGGATTTAGGCTCTAGGTTTATTAAACATCGTATTTTGCAGTAGAGGAATGTAATAAGAGTATGAAGTTAATGAAAGTATTCTCTAAGGAGTGAGGGAACGAAGCTGTGTGCTAAGGTTAGATTGCTACTAGGATTGTGTTCTCATCTTTAATTAAGACTTTTGATTACGGATGGTGATACTTCTCTAATGTTTTGGAGTTACTACCAAATTTTTTTGAGGGACTTCATTTAGTTTCTTAGCTTATATTATATAATTTGGATGATGCTGTTCGATTTTCATATTTATGAAAAAGTAAATTCAGATTGTGGTTTACGGGTTAATACACTACGCTTTTTCCGATGTAGTATGACGTTTTTAAATCAGGAAAAGGCTCAGTTTCACAGTTTTTCGATTTATCGGTTCATATGACTATCTGTTTCTGTCTGTTTATGATGCTGCATCTTTGATTTGAGTGATTCTTCGTTTTGTCTTGTCATGTGCCTCTTGATCTTAGATAATGGTTTGCCTTACTTGTTTTTCTTTTGTAATTTTAGTGTAGATTCAGAGTTCTTTAAAGGCCAGTATTCTTTAGTTACCATTGTAGCTGTAAATTTACACATGAAGGTCTATCCGGTTCTCTATCAAGCATATGGTATGAGAATAGAAATAGAAGATGAAAGATTCAGGCAGTGAAATGATTAATAGAGATTGGGTCATGAAGCAGAAAAGAAGAAAACTTCCTTCAATACTGGATTTATTAGACCAAAAAGTGGAAAGTTCAGTGGCTTTTGATTCTCCGGAATACACTTCTTCCGCTAAACCAACTAAGCATCGGCTTAGGACTGATTCAACTCCTGAAAGGAATTCCTCTAAGAGGAAGGGAAATGATGGGGTAACTTCATTTTATCTTTCTACTTTTTCGCCTTATTTTATATATGGTGTTGTTCTGTTATTCAATTTTTTTTTTTCTGTTTTACAGAATTATTTTGAATGTGTGATCTGTGACCTTGGTGGTGATTTGTTGTGCTGTGATAGTTGTCCTCGGACCTATCATACTGAATGCCTCAATCCACCTCTTAAGGTAAACGATCTTTTGTATTCCATGTGTCCTTCGTAGTTGTGGATTCGCAATACCCATATTTGGGAAACTTATCTTACTCCTTATCATTTCCTCTAGCGGATTCCAAATGGTAAGTGGATCTGCCCTAAATGTTCCCCAAACAGTGAAGCACTCAAGCCTGTCAATCGTTTAGATGCTATTGCTAAGCGTGCGAGAACAAAAACTACGAAAAGAAATTCTCAAGCCGGACCAAAGTGCGAGAGAGCTTCTCAGATTTATTGCAGTTCTATAGTTTCTGGAGAACAAACTTCAGAGAAAGGGAAATCTGTATCGGCTGAAGAGAGCAAATCCGTAGGAAAGGAAGTTTATTCACCCCCAATGGATGGTTGTTCAACTGCTGAGCTTGGTCATGCATCTGCGGATGACCGACCTGATTCATCGTCTCACGGAGAAGATGATCTGGGAAAACCTGTCGTACCCACTGCAGATCCGCCTTCTGATGCAGGATTAACTTTGATGTCCTGTGAAGATCTCTCTGAATCTAAACTATCAGATACAGAGAAAAACCATGAAGCATCTGTGAAGAAGTTGGATCCTGCTTCCAGTGAGATTGTAGAAAACAATACAACTGCTGAAGTGGAGACTGGAAAAGGTAAAAGGAAAAAACGAAAACGTGAATTAAATGATGGGGAAAGTCTTGAAAGGTGCAAGTCTGAAAAGAAACGCTCGAAGAAAAGTTTGTCCAAAGTGGATTCTCAGAGTACCAAATCACCAGAGTCTTCGAAAAAGAAGAAAAAGAAAAAGAAAAATCGCGTGACTTTAAAATCCCTGTCCAAATCTCCGTCCAAGACCGAAATACCAGAAAAAGTGAAGGTATGTTTTCATAATTATTATAGATTTTGTAGACATTTGACGATGCTGGTAATATGAAATAGTATTGTGAGAAACCTTAAAATGTTGCATCACTCTTTTTTCTTCACTGTGTTGTAGCACTAAAATATATAATAATCGTAGTAGAAATAAAAAATATATCAGATATTTGGTAGAGTTACAAGATTCAGAATCGTATCAAGCTTGTTTTTCTGTCACTTTGCATTTAATGTTGAGTATCTTCTGCATTATTATAAAGAGTCTTTGGTCAGTATAGCAAAATATTGTTTTGCTAGTAGAGTAGTTAGTTTTGATACATGTGACTAAACCCTCTGTTTCGGCAGATGAATCATGGATACCTCTTTTAACTGCATGAGCTTGGAATGCTTCTTCATTATGAATTTAGTTATATAGAGTTGAAATTTCTAACAAACCATGTCTGATGGTCCTATTGATTTCATTCTTCATTCATTGCTGTTCTTGTCTCATCTTTCATTAGTATATGTTCTTATCCACTTATGTGTACTAATGCAGAAGCTTTCCAAGGAGGAACGACGTGCAATACGTGACA